TCGTGGACAACGCTCGGATTCAAAGTCATGACGGCTCCATTGATATCGACATGGTGCCGCGCGGAGAAGGCCGATTCCAAATTCCCTCCTTGGGTTTTCTCTCGTGGCTCTCAACAAATCGCGATCCGCGCGGTCACCTGAGGTCTCCATGACGGCCAGACTCGGCCTTCTCAGGTGTCCCTCAGTGCCAATAGCAAGCCGCGGATCACCGTGTTAGCTACGGGGTGCAATCTAACTAGCAAGAAGATATGGCAGAAGCAATGTGTGCCTTGTCCGCTCGAATGTAGCACAAGCTCGGTTCGTCGCATACTGGACAGTTTGCTAGGCTGATAACCAGTCCACGGGGGCTCTGAGGCTCTGGAAGTTCAGAGGGACACCGTAATATTTGCGCGTAAACTTGAATGTGATATCTCTTGGAGGCTCGAGCTAGCCCCCGGAGCCTGTCGTCGTCGTCGACAGCCTCGGAGTACTCTCCGGGGCTCGGTGGCCGAAGGCGAAGGTAATTGCCATTCTGGTGGTAAAATCACTGCTCATAACATTCTGGGATTTTCTAATTGCTGTGAACTTGAGGTTTTCCTGACAGCTTTCTGAAGATTTTATTGCTGGCGCTGTGACCGGGTGCAGTGACTTTTGCTGACGTTCCGATCAGCGAGGGTATTCTCGCGGCCCCTTTTGCACCACGGCCGTCGCCTCCTCCATCTATTCTTCCCCGATCAATACCAAAGTTCCTCCTGTGTAGGATATGGATGAAATCCCCGACTTGAAGAGCTGACTACGATCCAGATGCCCCCCGCAAAACGCCCCCCGAACAGCCATCTCGAAAGTGCTTCCCATCCAACGACGCGCTTACGGAGGCTTCAAAGTCCCTCGGAACCTCCGTGAACGACTTGAGAAGAACAGCTGTCTTTGACATTTCCATTTGACGGCCGTAGAGAGGCTCTCTCCCACCTTGACATCCACCGGAGACGCAGTCAATCGAAGCCGCAATATCCTTCCACGACGAGACGAAACTCCCTCTCCCCCCTTTTTCTACGAACGTATACCCCAGAACAACAGAGATGGAACAGAGTCGGCTATCATAAGAAGGTTTTAGTTGGGTTGATGATGTACGGCAAGTCTACAGAGGGCTTGGTGCTTCTGAGGCTTTCGGGCTAGGCGACGACGCTGTCTGCGGATGCGTAGCAGTCGAAGTTAAACATCGTGAGGATTCTTGTCCGTAGAGTTCTGGCTTGGATGCTCCCTTTCGTCGGTTCTCGACGTTACTTCTGGCTGCTGTTCGGCAGTTTTATCCCTGCAGAGATGAACTGCTATGATGAGTGCCGGTGGTCTGTCCGAGCTAGATGCTGTTGCCGCCTCGGTCGACCAGAAGAGAGCAGTGCGTTGTGCTGTGATCCCGCCATGGAATAGAGCACGACCGGACGTGTTCCATGGTACATTTTGTCTACAACTTCCAATCTGATTACTTCCACTGACTTCGGCTTTGAGTTCTGGTTATGCTCTTCTCTGCTTGATTTCGATCCCATTCAGTGATGTGCCACGGGCGACCTTCCTGTCTGTTTACACAAGCCCGGAAGCATCCGCATCTCGTGCGGGATCTGTAAAAAGCGTCTCTTGGGGAGAAATTATGTCGTTCCATGACCACCGCATTAGCTAGACGCTGGTATCTATCTCCTATTTTAGGACGCGTCAGGATCATCACCAATAGGTTGAGAGCTGGTGCGCCGCATGGCGCAGCCCTTTCCAAGTCTTCTATTCCGATCATTTGAAGGAAGGCCAAATTAGACGACGGTCTGTGACTCGAGTGCTCCGAGCATCAGATGCCTAAATCTGACAGGAGATACCAGTTAACGCCCGGCAAGAAGGACAGGGGCTTCGAAGGGAATGTTGGACTAGATGATGTTTAGCAGCTGCCTCGTGAAGTTATACATCCTTTTCTCTGTCATTTCTCGATCTCCTAGCAAATCAGGCAGTGTGTTGTCGCGGAGGGGCTCGCGAACACCAACTTTGAGGCTCTGCGCAATTTCGAGGCTGCTATGAATACCAAGTAGGCCTGATGGATGTAGCGCTCCAAGCGATGAGGCTGCGAATGCAGTCTATTTCCTGGCGTCGCACAAGCCTTTCAAATGCCCTTCCGTCTACATAACCCAGTCCATTCAGACTTGTAGACAAACTGGTCACACATAGCCCATGCCGCAGTCCAGTTCTCATGGTCGGGTTTGACTCCATCGTAATGCTGGCGAGCGCTCAGGAACCACCACAACTACGAGTCCACGATCGTTCTTTTATCGGTACTGGAGTCAGAACATCATCTACGCACTATATTGTCCGCTTTCTCCGTCTTCCCTCCCGCGTACCTTATTGCTCCGGAATACTTGACAACTCAGCCCATTGTTCGAAAGAGGATTACTGGCTTGGTACGTCGAAACAACGTGCGACTGGAACTTGGCTGGCCTGTAGACTTCAGCTCTCAACCCAGCCGCAATTGTCTTGTTGCTGCAAACACCTCCTATGTACAATCGGTGCCCATCTTTCAAAGAGATGCAAACAGTGTGCTTGTCGCGCGCTCTGCCCCTTGGAAAAACGGAAGATGTGGATGGTGGGAGGCTGGCTTCATCAGCCCCAGGATCTTGGCCACTGTCTCTCTAGATTTGCCCCGCGCACCAAAGGATATAAACCACCACCGCGGACGGCATCAAATTGAAATTGAAGTACAATTTCAGCGCACCAGATGCGGTCATTGGGATACTTGTTGATGCAGCATCGTCCTGGAGTTACGATACATATGCATGTCCACGAACAACCAGACTCATGTCAACGGGCACCTCTGAATACGTCCCTGAATGCGGCAACGACGAAGAGAAACGGTGAGAAATGAAACCGAATGCATTCTTGGTGCAATCGCAAGTGCAAAATATACACTCGATCACTGCCCCACAGACTTCCTGGAGCTGTGGCCATCTGAGAAGTCGAAGAGAAATCGCCAGTCTCGTTGATGAACCAATGTCAGAGTCACGCGGACATGCGGCCTATATTTATACCCAAGTAACAACTTATCAGTGCTGTATTAAGCATGTGTCTCGCCATCGTGCTGCCTCAACTCTCATCCGACTGCTCAAACTGTTTGAACCCGAAATTCAAGTAACTACGTACTTCTCCCGCCATATTTGAATACATTGTCAATAGAGAAAGCTTGTTTTCTACCTATCAGATAGGGAAGTGCCTCAATCTCCCTGCTATCAACTCAGAAAGAATCATTTCCAGACGTCATGGAAAATGGCAAGAGGTTGGGTTCACGATCGTGGTGCAAGCGAAGCCAAGGTCGCGCCAGGCAGCGTATTTGTCTATTCAGAGACATAATAAACAGATAACGATGACGAATAATAAAAGGATCAACTGAGGTTGTGATTACTGCTTAGAATCAGAACCACGTCGAGTCGAGCAACACCCGATGAAAGAGGGTTCAAACAGAAGTGTCCAATTATTTCAAGTTGCCAGAAGATGAATTGTTTCTCCACCACATGATTGCTACAGAGGCTTTTTGGGGTTTCTCAATTTATGCACACTGCAGATCATATGATTTGCACAATGGCTTTGGCAACGTCATGGCATGTAGGGGACACCAATGGACTGACAACCATCACAGATGTGGAATCCTTCTACATCACCCATAAAGGTCGCCTATTCTCGATCAAAGAGACCCTTAGATGCTTCATTGGCAAGGTGCCATCAATCCAGTGATTGCTTCTCATGGGACATTGGGGCACGGGGCAACGGCCTCAATGAGTACCCAGGTATGCAGCTATCCAAGTCCCCGGTCCACAGCAACGAGCTTCCTCAAGACTTACGAATAGTCGGCGATATAAGCACTGGACGAGGACGATGTTGGAATAAAACAACGTGAGTTGAACGGTCGGAGGATGTTGCAACATATCTGCAACGTCGATAATACCGTCTAGTCTCGTATGAATACAACAGGAGCATCACGAGTCCGACACCAGTAAACAGTTTAAACACCAAGGAAACCCTACCAGCATGCGACTTCAAACATATCTCTACCCATCCCGGCCGCCTGCGAATTTCAAATCCCCAAGCACATCGCCGCATCCCGAACACCAAATCCCGAAAGCCCACGGAACTGACCGCCCAAGAAACCTCGGCTGCCCACGCCCACGCTCGTGTAACGTCAGAATCAACACTGCCAGCCCTGTCAAAAGACAAAAAAGCAAGAAAAGAACAGATGCCGTCCGACAAGGACACCAAGATCACACATTCACACACGCCGACACGTCCCACAACCTCCACGCGACGTGCACCAACATCATCGTCGTCCCACCACCATCCCCCGGCCGCCACTTAAGCCACGAATTGCCGCGTCTGCCCACGTTGGACGTTACACAAAGAGAACAGATAGAGAAAAATGGGGGCTGCTTCTTCTTCCCGAACCGCACTAACCTTTGGCAACAAAGGCCAACCGTTGACGGCCGCGAACAATACCGTTGTTACACAGTTGGGCTCAGCCAAGCAATCCGAGCAAGCCCCATGTTCTTGAGAAAGTGTGGGTGTGTGGGTGGGTGCAGGGTGTAGTGCCTTGGGGAGCATCCTGTCTCCGAATGGCATGTCGAGCCGGGGATGGGTGGGTGTGCTGAAGGATTGTTGGATGGTCGGACTTTGTACAATGACGATATCACCGCTTCCCCCCGTCGGACAATGACGAGGGCCGACACAAACGTAGTTCAAGGGTCCAAAGTAGAGTCATGTAGATGCAATGTTGGTCAGGGTTTCTACAAGTAAGTCTACAAGGACGGTAACGATGCTACTGCGAGAACCCATCCACACTCCCTCCCCTTCACCGTTCAATCGCTGCCATACAAACCGTGTATTGTGGTAACACAAAGTGCGCGCGCTTTTCCCTTTTCTCTTTTCACGATTTTAAAATATTTTGGTTGGTTGGCTCTAGATTTTGTTCGATGATAGCCGATCGACGGCACAAGTGTCCGTTTCTACGAATCGGTGTCAAGGCCAGCCTGCTTGACCAGCCCGTAGAATACGCCCCGTCTCTTGATGAGCTCCTGCGGCGTGTCAAACTCAACGACCTCTCCCTTGTCGAGAACGACGACGCGGTCGCTGTCGAGGATAGTGTTGATGCGGTGGGCGACGGTGATGATGGTGCGGTTGGCGAACAGGGGTGAGCGCAGCGTGGTCTGCAGCATGGCGTCCGTCTCGACATCGACGGCGGCGGTGGCCTCGTCGAGGACGAGGATGTTGGATGGCGTCAGCATAGCGCGGGCGAGGGACACGAGCTGTCGCTGACCCTGTGAGAGGTTGGAGCCTAGACGCGAGATTGAGTCAGCATTTCGCTCCATCCGATATGCGGCTTACTAGGTCGGCAGACGGTGAAGACGGTGGAGAGTTGGGGAGATGATGAGATAAGCCAGCACGAGACGAGGACTGCATGCGCGGGAGATCATGCAGGGGACTCTAAATGCGGCGATGGATGCATGTGAAAGGTGACTGTTGTGCTGCCTTTGAAAGTCCGATACGACGTCGCGAGAAAATCGCGACGGTATTCGGGAGCACACGACTGCGGACAGCCGTGGAGGGGATGATGCGGGATGACCGAAGCTTAAAGCCGACAAAAAGCGACGGTGGAAACGACGAGAACTCACCTCCTTCATTGATCTTCGCCTCAAGGCCGCCTTCCATACTCGATACGTGGTCCTTCAACCGGGCGTGTTCTGTGATAGCGAGCGCATTAGCTCCAATTCATTATTGAGGGAGGGGTCACTCAGGAAGGGTGTGGGCAGGGTTCCTTGGCGATTGGGCCAGCGAGGAAAGGCAGGACTCAGTATTACTTACCCAATACGCTCCAGAGCTCGGTATCATCATGCACGTTGCCGGGGTCCAAATTATCCCGGATTGTACCCTCGAAAAGGGCTGCGTCTTGCGGAATGATAGCAAGTCTTCTACGCAGGTCAAGCAGTCCGATGGAGGACGTGTTGAGCTGATCGATGCTAATGTGACCCATGGTCGGCTCGATTATGCGGAAGAGCGCCAAAGTCAATGAAGACTTGCCGGCTCCGGTGCGGCCAACGACACCGATCTTCTCATGTGACTTGATGTCGAGATTGATGTTCTTCAGCACGTTATCCAGTCCCTCACGGTAACGGGTGCTGTAATTCTTGAACTCAAGAGAGCCCTTCGCAGGCCAAGCAACCGGGGGCCGGTTGCTCTTGATGATTTCAGGGGCCTCGCTCGGCAGCCTGGCGTACTCGAGAACACGTTCAACGGAGACGATGTTCGTTTCAACTTCGACAGTTTGACGAACAATCCAGTTGAGAGACGTGGTGATCTGCAAAGCGTAAGACATGGCAAGACCGACGAGACCAGGGCTCAGATTGCTGTGGCTTGCGACGGAGATGACGGCGAAGCCAGCGGCCGACATGATGACAATGGCACCGATGAACTCCAGACGAACGGCCAGCCAGCGGTTGGCGCTGATGGAAGGGAAGTACGCCTTGAGGTTGGCATCAACACGCCACTCATTTTCAAGCTCGAACCTCTGCTGTTGTCGGTAGGCTCGGATGGTGGAGATTCCTCCGAGGGATTCCTGGAAGTGGGCGTAAATAGGACTCTTGGTAACACTGTCAAGTCGCTTGAGCTCCCGGGATGTGCGCAAGTAGTATCGCTGGATCCAGTAGTACATCAGGCCAATTGGGATGATCAAGGCGATGAAAGGTGGAGTTGCGACCGCAATGACCGCCAACGTAAAGCCTGAGCGAGCAACGTTGACGAAGAGCATGTTGAACGTCCTAGCAAGAACCTCGTCCACCCTGTAGATATCACTGGACACATGTCAGTAGTGCACTGGTAGATGGTGGACCATCAACAAACCTGGAGAATCTATTCAAGATGCGACCCGTTGGCGTGACGTCGAAAAATGACATGGGCGATCGGAAGATGGCGTTCGCCATGCTTTCGTGCAGCTTTCGTGATGCCTGGACTTTCGGTTAGTCTGCATGGTAGAGATGCCAGCCTTTCTCAACTTACCTCAATGGAGCAAAAGATCCACAAGATGAGCGTTTGGACGACAGTCAACAGAGACGAGCCAATGCCAAAGGCGAAGTAGATTCCAATGTATTTGCCAACATCAGGGTTGCCGCCGGCCTCTTGGTTGTGCTCAGACCAGGTCTTGAGCCACGCGGATCCGCCAATGTTCGCAGTCTGTGAAGCGACAAGTGTGAGGAGGTAGATGAAGACGGCGATAGTGTTGCTGTTTCTGGCGTATTCAAGGTAAACATCCCACTTGACCTTTCCTTGCTCAGAGTGCTCCTTGGACTGCTTCGTCTTGCTGCCAGAGACTTCCTCGTCAGTAAGCTTGCCACGAGGACCTCTGAAACTGGCAGTACTCGCACGGCGAAGCGTAGCCATGCTCGATGATCGTTTCTTATGCGTCATGGCAGCACCGGTCTTAATGGGCTCCATCTCGGGCAATTGCTCTTGGGCTTCTTCCAACTCGGCCTTCTCCTGGCTGCTCCCCTCGGCCTCAATGACCGTGGACGTCTCGCTGCTCGAACCGCTTGAGCTGGATTCAGACGACGAGCCCGACTCTTGACCGGCAGTCTTGATGAGTTCGTTGATCATGCCTTTCATGGCCACGAGCTGCTTGTACGTTCCACGCTCGGCGATTTCGCCATCCCTGAGCAGTGTGATGTAGCTTGCTTCCGGAAGGACGGCAATGGCGTTGGTTGCGAGGATACGGGTCTTGGTGTTCAGAAGACCTCTAGGACCCAGGACATTCTCGATGATGTGTCGGCCGACGTGGGAATCGACAGCGGATAGAACGTCGTCGAAGAGGTAGATGTCGGCTCGGGCGTACACAGCTCTGGCCAAGGCAACACGTGCCTTTTGACCACCACTCAAAGAAATACCTCTCTCGCCTACGACGGTTTCGTCACCGTCGGGAAGTTGAGCAAAATCGTCGAGAAGGGCGCAGGCCTTGATAGTCTTTTCGTAGAAATCGGGATCGTAGCGGTAACCGAAGACAATGTTCTCCTTCACAGTGGCGTTCAAGATCCACGCACTCTGTGATGCGTACGCCACAGTTCCGTGGACCTGAACTTCACCCTTGACCTTCCAAAGATCGCCCAAGATGCTCTGCAGGAACGAAGACTTGCCGGCGCCAACCCTGCCAACGATGCAGGACAGTTCACCCTTGTAAGCAGTGAAGTCGATGTCTCTGAGGGCTTCCTTGCTCTCATGACGGTTCCAAGAGAAGTTTCCGTCTCGAATGATGACAGTCTCCTCACCCATCTCCTCAGGAGCAGGCTTGATGGTGATCGCATCAGGCTGGATCTCCTCGGCTGTGAGGAACGAGGTCAGACGGCCGACAGCGACACTCGCCTCCACGATAGAGGTGATGACCATTGGGAGAACAGCCAAGGGGAATGTGAGCAGGTTGAAGAGAGCTGCACAATGTGTTAGTACTTGTCATTCTAACGTTGGCCGGATGACTTACTCAGCGCAGGGAAGACGATTTCAGTCGTCAAAGGCTTGTCCTGCGTCAACACGAACACGGTGAAGGTCGAGCACGACACGAAGAACGGCGCAGTGCTCCACGTAAAGTTAGCAAAGGCTTGCGTCGCTCCGATCTTGCGGAGGTTCTTCAACTCAAGATCGTTTCGCACGAAGTTCAACTTGTTCATGAACGCAGCCCCCCAAGCGTAGAGCTTGATGCTCTTCATGTTGGTAATGATTTCGTTGATGAGACGACTTCTCTTGTCCTTGTTCTTCATCTGCTCCTTTTGCAAATTCCTCATGATCCTGGCAATGAAGCCATGTGCAGGCATCATGATAATCATGACACCAATACCAGCAAGCATAGACCAGCCAACAAGTTGATACAAGGAAACCATGCAGATGATGATCTGGAACGGCGCAGACCAGACTTGCTGGGCAAACTGGGTCAAATCCTGCAGACGCTGGGCATCAACGGCCATGTAGTTCACGATGTCACCCGTGGTCTTGGCAGATCGGCCCTCGTTGGATAGTTTCATGGACTTCTTGTAGATGGCAGACGCTAAGCCTCCCTTGATACGCATGCCGGTGACGAACGCAAGTTGGAAATATTGGTGCTGCGGGTTATTAGCCTACGAGCTTCTCGAATACTGAGGTGGGCACTTACGATCATAGCGGTCTGGAGGACAGCACAAGCGAACATGGCCAACGCAAGCGTGGCACCCCAAATGACTGGCTGTTCCTCCACGTCGCTGTCTGTGCGATATGAATCTACAAAAGCGATGAGATACCTGAGCAGTTGCGGCTGGAGGTATTGAGTGACATCGTTGACGGCCTTGAAGAGCGCCGCAACCGCGTAAGGGCCACCATAGGCGCGGAACATGGCAATCCAGAGCGAGGGGTTCTTCTTGTGCTTCAACTCGTACTCCCAAGCATCTTGGAATGCGTCTCCAGTGTTCTTCGTCTGGTCCTTCTTGGCAAGCCCCCAGAGATCATCTTCGGTGAGGTATTGCTTATACCCGTAGCGCATCAGAGGTGTCATCCATGAAAAGGTCAGGAGGGAGAAGACGGTCGCGTATTCGATCGGGCATTCCTCCTCGTCAATCAGGGCCTCGTAGGCGCTAACTTTCCTCGGCCACAGCCACTCAAGCAAGAACTCCACAATGGACAGCCCGAAGCCGATGGTGTAAGTGATGAAGTAGGCTTCGTTCTTGGCGTACAGCTGCTGCGAGATGAGGGATCGGAGCTTAACAGCGAATGCGATTAAGAGGAAGAGCCAGTAGAACAGAACGACGCCGTTGGCATTGCGCAGCCGCGCGTGTTCGAGCCACTGAATCGCGAAGATGACACCGAGGGAAAGGATTGTGCCGGCGGTCGTCCAGAATCTGAAGTCGCCGTACCACACTCCGGGATAGCTAAATATTTGGATTACAAGTTGCACGATGACGTCTGCGATAATGAAGCCGAGTAATGTCTGCACACGCGACTTGTCAGCAATACGTTAGCGGAGGAGAGCGCGCAAGCCAGGCTGACCTGTTTTGCCCAAAAGTGCCAGTCTTTGGGGGCATCCGAAGGCCTCTTGCGCTGGACAAGCCAAATGATAGCAAGGAGTCCAAACACGACACCGAATGCCGCCACGGAAGCTATCCAGACATCGATAAAGCAGGGCGTAAAGTCGTATCGGATCGGGCTCAACGGGCCCCAGCCTTCTTCGTTACCGCATAGCGGCTGCTTGATATGCTCGGTCGCGGAGAGATAGTTGCTGCCGAGTGACCCCAAACGGTGGAATCCCGTGAACGATCCCGTATGCAGGAGACGCTGCGACGTGTAGTCGGAGAAATAGTCCATGTTGAATGCTCTGCGGTTCCCCAAGCCCGCCTGTCAACGCATGCTAAGTAAGGTGAACAGAACGAACAATGGGGATATTTCGGTCGGCGCGAGGGCTCGAAATCGATGTCGTTCTAGTGTGCTATGTGGCCGTTTGTTTCTATACGCGCGAAATGAAACGAAACGGTCGACTCCGTCACTCGTTGGGGGGAGGGAAAAAGTTTTTGGAGGGACGACCGAGTCGAGTCGAGACGGGATGCGACGTGCCGCGAATTGTCGAGTGAGAGAGGTGTGGTGGAGGAGGTTCCAAAAAGCGAGGGTCGCTGTTCGGTGACGCTGCATGGTTTGTCAGCTTCGACGGGTTCGGGGACCACTAGCAAGCGGAAACCGCAAGTGGTGGCTACCCAGTCACAGGGCTCACCGCAGTTTAGCTCATAGAAAAGTGGGGAGCTATGACGACCTGCATTGAAGCCTGTCCCGCATTCGGCTTTTGCGATACATATCCGGTACGTCCGATGCATGCACAATCTGTACTATGTAAGCGGTACACTGAGTCGCGCGTGTCGGAAACTCGGATCCCCAGACTCTTCCTTCGTTTGATCTGAGAGATAAGACGCTCGGATACTTGAAGAAGCCACGCTGACCTCGTGGGCATGCGATTAAAGAGGCAATGGCCCAATTGATGGTGTCTGAGCTGAGCATGTCATCGCAACTTTGAAGAAGCTTCATCGATCTGACTTTCGCAAGCATGGGTCGGTTGATTTTGAGACAGCTGAGTGGCCGTTTGCGGTTCTCTACCTTAATACAACATTGCTTTTTGCAGATACGTGACTGCCGTGTCTTGAGACTTTTGGTGAACCCGTTATCAGACAAACCCCACCAGATGTGACAGTGCGTCGTGTTTCCGTCTAAGGGAGCAAGGGAGCTAACCTAATTTCGTCTTCACGCAACTCACAGAATCTGAAAACCGGCGACCATGGTCTATACTTGTGGCACCTGTTGGCGAATCTTCCCATCTGGCTGGCGCGCCAGAGACCAGCACTGCGATGCCACCGGTCACTGTGCGTCAGACTTCAAGGACGCCAAATGCGAGAACTACTTCGACAACGAGCAGGGCAGGGTTACGTACGAAGTAAACTTCCATCTACACTGTAGTTCCTGTGACCGAGATTCCATGAACTGTAACAACATCCATCTTCTCTCTCAGACTAGCTTTGCATACCTGACGCTGGTCAGCACTTCAACTCGTATGTACAGGGAGGATCCAACCTCTCATGCCCATTTTGCGGCGTTAGTCGAACAGCCGCAACGGGCCTGGTCCATCATCACGGAAGGGGAAGCTCTCAGCGTAATTACCGTTGGATTGCAACGCGCTCTACCGGGCCGTCCGCCAGCGCGATCCAAACGGCATCATCTCCAAGAAGATCCTCGAGTTCCACAGCTTCCCAAGCTATTCCGCAACAGAGAACGCCTACAATTACAGACTAGACTCATACGTCTGCTACATTTGCAGCAGATTTGACAGAACACTGTACTCTATTAGCCAAATCTTTGCCGTCTGCTGCGGCGTGTTTGGCAGCGTGTTCTGTCCTGTCCTCGTTGTCCTCAGTGCCATCCTCGTCTTGATCATTACCCTTGTCGATCCTCGTCGTTTTCGTATCTTTACGGTTCTTAGTGTCCTTATTATCCTTATCGTCTTTATTATCATCTGTATTGTATTCCCTATTGTTATTGATGTAAGTGCTGACGAACAATCAGTACCTAAGTGAGGGAAGGCAGCTACAACTTTCTTTGAATGACCCAAAGAAGGCATTTTTATGTTGTTTGTTATCAATCACCTTAGTGAAGTAAGTAACCCAATTTTCTCGCATATTCTATATGTTTATAAATATTTCTGGATAATTCAACTACTAAGTTTGAAAGGCTTTCTATCCTACTTGGTGTTGATGAGACATGTGCGGCAGTCACAATTACAGAATTTGGTTTGGTGCCTTCCAACCGTGGCTGGTGTGCCTTGGTTCATGTTCAATAAAAGTTTTGTTCCCTTGCCGACTGCGGAAGACCCGACTGGTGAATTATGAGGAGGTAATCGTTGCCTGAGGAACTGTGCCGGCAAAAGTATGGAAGTGAGGTTTTCTCCTCTAGGCATCCCACCTCACTTTCTGTTCCGACAACAGGCCCAGTCTCCCCTGCCTCAAACTTCTTCTCCTCTTGTGATCCTTCACCTCTGCCTCCCAAGATCGTCAGCGAAAATGGACGTGAGAAAATAAAAAGTCGACATTTCCACGATCCTCTCATCATCAGACGATCAACTTACCTTCCCACCACCATCTCGATTATCTCACTTTCACACGACCCAAATCATCGATCATCAAGTAGGTTCTTGGTCACATCTTCACTTGGACAGCAACTCACGCTATTACAGCCCACTCCTCACCATTTTCGCCCACCGTTGGCCGCCATCGTCACCCACCGTCCGCCGCCATCGTCTTGTTCTTATTGCGCAAACATACAAAATGGCACCTCAGTGTTTCGATAAGAAGCAGTTCATCTCTAGAGACGATGTCTTGAGATATCGCGCAGTGACAAAGTTCTTGTCAGTGACCAACGGTTATGGTCCCTCTGCCCCCGTCGGATCACCCGAGCAGCGAAAAGGTCCGCCCTACCATCTCAATCAGACGCTATCCCCTACCCAGAAGGCGTATGTGCAAACTTTGCACTTTACCCATCTGTTGGTTCGTCAGCATGAAGTGGTTACCACCACAATGCTTGAGAATAATGAAGACATTTTGAACGCCATCAGAAAGCTATCCATTGACAACACCGGATTCCCCGATCCGCGACAAGGACCTCGCCGTCGCCAATACCTGCGCTGGATTCGTCGTTACCGACGTGACGATCAAACCCTCAGCGACTTGCCGACGAATGCACTTCCTGGGCAGTTGAAGTGCAAGCTCACCAACCTCGACGGAACAGGGTTCCCCGCCAATGTCTCTGCTGCGCGGTACTACATTGACAACATCCAGGCCACCGTCAAGGGAGCTGGAGGCAGAACGAAGCTACAGACAAGTGTTAGCTGGGGCAAGCACGTTGATAACACTGTCTGTCTATTGCGGAGAATGCGACTAGCCAAAAGAATGGACGATCTCAGGCCCGCCGTCAAGATCTTCCGGAACTACGTGGTCATTTCAAGTTGCGAGAAGATGAATACACGCCTGTTCCGCGGCGTGAAGAAGAGCCGCGTTTCCGGCGCAATTGCCGCCTTGCAACAGGCAACAACCGAATCACTCGATGTCACAGAGCAGCTCAGAATGATGGAGAACCGGCGCAATTTCCACCTGGCCATCACTTACGATATTAGTGCAGTCAAGTCAGATTCAGCCAAGGAGTCCCCGGTGCCAGCTGTTCATCCCCTTAGCGCAAAAGACTCAGACGAGGTGAGGAACATTGTCACGTTCCTGAAGAAATCTGGCCACGGGCAAGGCCTAGGAAGTTATCCGCCTCCAGGAAAGGATTGGTATAACGTTGAGGGAAGACAAGTCTTCCACGAGATTCTCAGCCGCCTCTTAAATGGCTACACTGAGGCATTGGCCATGCTGATCAAGACCAAGAACACTTGCCACAAGGAAAAGACCGCTGTCTTGAAAGGCAAGCAAAACGCACAGGGTCCTGACGCGCAGATGCTGGACCGTGTAGCCACCAACGTCGTTTTTTTTCTCGTCCACCTTTCTCTTTTTCAGGACAAGTTCGCCAAAATGGTTGTGATCAAGGGACAAGAAAAGTCAACGGTGTTACACGAACACCTTCAATGGGTGGCCGAGAGATACCGACTGGAGGACGATCGACACGTGGGTTCCAAGTCGCCCTTGTACCGTGCATACGACGAAGACACCGTTGAGACGAAGAGCGGGAGTGGCGAAAGCCACGAGATTGACTCCGAAAAATCCGAATTGTCGGATCTTGATGCAACGTCTCAGAGGAGCTGGGCGGCTGCTGCTGGCAAATATCTCAACCTCTTGACACTGCATGGTCAAGCCATGAGAAATCTCGGCAAGTTCGATGTCCAGGCAAAGGACGAGGCCAAGAAAATTGCGTCAGTCATCATAACGAAAGGCGGTTTTCGTCTGCTTGAGGTGATTCCAGAGTACAAGGACCTGGAGATGGTGTCTATGAAGGACCTCTTGAGCATATTCCCCATGAAGGACGGCAAGCCCTTACAGAAGAAAGATCAAATTCTCATCATGAACTGGATCCATTACAAGGAGGAAAAGAAGAACGGCGCGAAGCATGCTACCGACTTCAGATCATCATACTTCGGCGGAACTTGTCATTGCGAGGTTAGCTTGCTGTGCATTCAGCTGCTGAACCGCCAAATGGCCAATTTGAGAAAGTCCTCGCCGCAGGAAGGGATTGAGATTCCCGAGAAAGACATCATAGATCTTTTCTTGAAGACCATCACGGTATTGCCTGTCAGCAAGCATTGCTGCCCGGCTTGCGACAGCCTTGTCGCTTTCTACGCCAACCTGATCGGCAAACAGATTCAATACCCTGGATCTCACAAGAATTGGAGCGCATGCTCACCTCCTCCTTGGATCCTCAAAGATGCTGGATCACACATGATGAAGATAGCCACTGAGGCTCTCCGCGAGCGTCTGAGTTGGATCCTGGAGCAGATCAACAGAAAGCCGACTGATCCTTCGCCCACTCCGTCGTCCTCCGAGGTCAAGAGCCCCGAGGGTGAGAGTATGGCGGGCGAGTCGGACGCGGAGTCTGGTTTGGCCGAGCAGTCCATGTTGGAGAACAGCGAGTATACCGTTTTCGACTTCTAAAAGCAGTTCCTTGACAGTGGCACAGAGCATATTGCGACGTCGACGGTAGAGATGGAAACTGTTGACGAATGCAATCAACAGGCACGGAGATAGAAAGATACGACGGAACGTGAGAAAGGGATGCCGAGAGCTATAACTTTGGAATCGCGGCAAGGCAAGTATCTAAGCTGCCGACCCAAAGAGTGAAATAGCAAAGAGCAAAACAGGTTGGTGGTTAGGAGGATTACGAGAATGTACACAAGAAAACTCTAATACAGGAGAACTTTAAGATACCGAAACTCGTCTCCTCAGTTCCCATGTATCTCTAAATCAGGCCAACGATGAATGCTGATAATCAGTCGAAGTCCCAGCCGTTGGCCATGTCGCGAAACCCAGAGTAGGTCGATCTTAGTTTTTCTGATTCCAAGGGGTTGATTGACTATTTTCTTGATATATACGACAGCGGGCAGGGCCTGTAATCGAGCAATGATACATGCTTCGTGGTTGAGTGACGTACTCGACGCACATATTCGTCCACGAGTTGTCATTGGAGAGGAAAGAAACCTAGAAGCACTACCTCAGTCAATTGTCTATAAATCCCCAATCCTATCAAGCTCATGAAGCTTAAGGAGCTCAGGAAGATCATAACAATAGTCTTCGTCATCGAGAAGTTCCACCATGCCGTCCCCGGCCCAGTCGTCCTCATTTTCGTCCGCTGCCGCCCATATCTGGTATCTCTCGAGGATTATGTCTGCCCTGTATAAAGCAGCCCGAGTTGCTTTTTCCAGCATGTGTTCTCCAGCATCTCTTGGTATCCACGCCGGGAGAGAGCATGCGGTCCAATGTCCATGACTAACAGGGAGCATAGCCTGTTTGCCTGTTGAATTCATGTAGAACCTGATGAGAACGAGGCACGAAGCACAACACTGTTCGCTGAGTGCCAGCACCCTCAAGTCACTCTGGAACAGACCAGAGATGTTGTCGTTGTTAGGTGAGGATCGCTGTCCTCGTTTGCGGGCCAATAGCTGTAAGCCGATCAAGTTGGCTCCGCAATGACATGTGCCGTGAAAGGAGGTTGAGTCGAGATCGTACCCATAGAAGTCGAGATCGGGATGCTGTTCTTTTTCTTTCAACCACTGATTGATACCTGGGTCATCTGCTGGGAATGTCTGTCCATTACAGTCTTCCAGGGTGTTGAGAAGCTTCCGAATTGATAGCATCTCTTGGTCGTCGTGCCGCCGGGAAAACTCAAGCACATGAAAGTCGACTTCGCAGATAAAATCTGTAACAACTTGCCAACGTATTGCTTTTTGCCGCTTCTTGAACTTCGCCCTCATGTCTCCCTTCATAGGTGGAGGAGACTTCGTGAAAGCCAGAATGCCTTGGGCGTGTATGGTCAGGGCGTCCAAGTACTCCAGTGCCTCACTTGTCGGATGCATCGCCAACGTCATCCGTCAGGCCAAATTCAAGCGCAATAACCTTGAGGTGCTTTCGCAAGGCCGTTTCTCCGAACATTCGTCGAAATAGAAGTAGCGCGCGTCCCCATTGATAGGCTTGTGCAGCGGCGTGAGATAGCTCAGCAACACCCGGACAATGAGTTCCGTTGACATGAGGTCTGTTGCGGCACGCGTTCCTGACATCGACCAGGGAATTGACCTTATCGGCATAGCCTTTGAGAAGCCGGCAAAGCATAATGTGGAACGCCATTTTCCCTTCGATATCGTGGCACCAGTGTGTTTCCGGTGAAGGGAAGTTCTCAAGACCCTCGCCCTGGCCGGATCGTCGGAGAAGGTCGACAATTTGCGTCAATTTCTCAAAATCTTCGGCGGACAGTGGCGTGTTGTCATCGTACATCCATTTGTGGTAGGACTGCCATGGTATGTTGGTTCCGGAAGCGTCTCGGGTGATGGCTGCGTAGTAATCCTTTTGGTTTTTGCCTTGTGGACAGAGCCGAGATTTTATATTTTCGCAGCTGGATATGCAGACGTAATCCCTTAGAATCTTGAGTCTTCGGAAGTACTCCTTGGATTCCGCGGTGCGCAACCTGCGTATGAGACAGACAAGATTGCTGACATGAGTGCGGATGGGAACATCTGCAACACTGCCCAAGCAGTACTCCGCAGCAGACATGTGCTCGGGAAAATCTTCCCCGCAAAGTTGCGCAAGATTGTATGCCACTTCCATGGCAGCATCAGGATGAGCTGGAATAGAGACTTCGCGGCCGTTTTCGCTTTGGATGCTAATGACAACCGAACCCTTTTTGCAAGGTGGATGTGTTTGGGGGTGCATTCTGACGGCGTCGATGAGCTTGTCTGTGTCCACCAACGCAGCCGCTGCGATATCGTCCTTCTTTCGTAGCAGAAGGTATGTAAAGCGGTGAACATAGTAGAAGGCTAGGCTATCCATTTGGCGTGGCCTTGACCTTTTTGCGGTGGAAGCATCCGCAAAATCGTGTAGGTCGTAACTATCAGTAGGACTACAGCTTTCCGAGCTCTCTGTCAGGGATAGTAACTGGGTCAACGATCGGTATCGAAGAATTTCTTCCCTCGAGAGAAGTTCTTTGTCGGTTCCCATGATAATTATCGCGCCGTGGCAAATGGGCTGGAAATTGCGACAAGAGTCCAAGATGTCGCCGAGGAAGATCTAAAGATGTCGTTGAGGATGGATGATTAGGATAGTGGCTGTAGTAATACTAGTGAGGAAACGAGGTGATTGAGAAAGGCGATTGATGATGCCTTAAATAAAGCCAAGGAAGAGCCTGCATGAGTTATCGGAGATAATGTGGAAAATCAAAGACAGACAAAACTTATTTCGGATATCATACTTTTCTGTTCACACGGCTCATTGTGCGGATGCAAGAAGTAATGTACCGGGAAGTCCAGAAAGTGAAGAAAGGTACCCGGACGGCCTTGAGTTCCTTCCCAACCTGCGATCAAAGGTATATGCCCCGAACAAAAAAAGCCAGCTCTTTCACCAAAAGTTCGGCTGGAGTACAAGCCATTTGGCCAAATCGCCGACAAGAGGTCGAGGTGGCGGGCGCACCTGAAATGTAGCGCGTTCTTTACGTTTTGTTTTTATGCACTTCCATTCATCTGCAGATAGGCGTTTCGATTTGGCATTTGCTTCTGATTCTGGGTTGTTATTTTGCGTTGGGGACCTTTTGTTATGGAAGGCCGGCAGTCCGGGTGTTGAAGCTGAAGAACGCAGCGATTTTGGGGTCGGACAAGAGCCTGATCTGAGCAGCGTCAACGTAAATTGCCTCGGCGGTGGAATAAAATGACGGGTGAGATTATCTCACTGCTAAGAGTTGGGAGTAGATAACAATATAAAGGCTCGTTGGCGTACCATCAAGAGGGTTGCTGCGAGGAAGCGGATGAGGCCCTAGGGGCGGTCTGGGCCTTGGTTGTTTTCTGGGCCGGAGATGAATCAAATCAGAAGAGAGCCACAAGGCTGTGCCCGATGGAATTTTGCGACAGATGTTTCGCACTATAACTTTGAAATAAGCCTAGACTCTATACGGTTGGCTGTCAAATGTCGGGAGGTCGACATCGTGAATGATGGAACCGAATACAGGTAAGGCAGGTATCATAGATCTCCGCTGAGACTTTGGAAGCTGCGTCAAATCCTCATCAGACGACGTTGCACTCCTTTGAGCCTCAAAATACATGAAGAATGTACCTTGACAGGGCCGTTGCTGGTGGGCTTAACCTTATCTCGCAGGAATGACCCAGACACCCGAACGGGTGGAATGCCAAGCCCCGCATCCGGGAGACCATCGACGCCGCAAGATAAGATAAGCCAAAACTTAACGACGTCAACTCATTCCAGGACGACCCCTCCAACTCATTTCTTCTCAAACCTTATTCTTGTACCCCCATCGGAAGTTCCAACGACATACGGTCTCTCGCGCGCATGGGACGCACGCGATGACGACCCCGTCGACTTCGCCGCGAAGGCGGCACATTCTTTCGTCGATAAACCCGGACGACGGCCACGAGCCTGCGCGAGAACGCACGAAGCGGAGTCCGTCCGGCGAGCCGGCGTCGAAGGGCGAACCAGTACCAAAGGTGGAGGTGGACGACAACGACGATACTCTACGGCCCAGGTCATCGCGAATCCGCCTAAAGTCGAAACACAAATCGCGATCACACAGACACCGCGACCGCGACCGCGACCGCGAAGACGACGGCGGCGGCGTCGAGGACTCCCGCTCACACCGGCGGCATCACCACCGTCGCCATCGCAGACGTTCACGATCCCCCACGCCCCCGAACCCGCACGAACCCCAAGCCCTCGACCCGGACGCCGCCTTCCGCGAGTCTCTCTTCGACGCGATGGCGGATGACGAGGGCGCCGCCTACTGGCAGGGCGTCTACGGCCAGCCGATACACGTCTACTCCAACGAGCGCCCCGGGCCGCAGGGCGAGCTGGAGCGCATGACAGACGATGAATACGCCTCTCACGTGAGGCAGAAGATGTGGGAAAAGACGCACCAGGGTCTGCTGGAAGAGAAAGCACGGAGGGATGAGGCACGCAAACGCAAGTCGGAGGAGGAAAAGAGGAACAGGAAGCTTCAGGAGGACATGGAACGCAGCCTCCGTCGCGGGGAGGAGCGTCGCCAGAAGAAGAGATGGACTACACTATGGGAGGAATACACGCAGGCCTGGTCGGGCTGGACAGGCGATGTCGACGGCATACCATGGCCTGTGGAGAGCGGGCACAGGACGGACGTCGGCGAGAAGGAAGTCCGCCGGTTCATCGTCAATGGGCTGGCGGTCGAGGAGATTGGAGAAAAGGAGTTCGCCGCCAAGTTGCGCGAGGAGCGGGTGCGCTGGCATCCGGACAAGATGCAGCAGAAGCTCGGCGGGCAGGTCGACGGCGCGGTCATGAAGGACATCACGGCGATTTTTCAGATCATCGACAAGTTATGGGCAGATACCCGGTCGAAGGCATAAGCGATGCCTTCCGACCACATTGTTTTTCGGCGCAATCAAACACGGGCAGACAGTTCAGCCATGGCTGGGACTTGTGTCGGCACGCCTTTCACCATCATATTCAAACGCAGTCGTATGTTCTACCTTTGCTTTTCGTACTGTGAAACACTAGGTGAGGCAGTCGGGGGGTTGGTACGGATACAGCCAAGGTGGCTGGACATTGGTAGTGCAAAAGTTATGCTTGTTTGCCCCTGAGAGATACGAAATCCAGAGCAGGACGACAATGAGCGTGGCCCTAATACGCATCCTGGTACTACCCGGAGCAAGTGCGCCCATTGCAACATGCAAGGGTAGCTATGCCGCCATTCTCTTTCGTCCGAAGCACCCCAAGCGCCAAGGTGTTGGGAGCGGCCAAGGCGCATATTGCGGTAGGTTGCTCGTTATTTCCGCGAATCTCGATCATGGCCAAGTGCTAAACCGCCAAGTGGCAATCGCAATTCAGGCAAAAGGCACACGAGCAATACACGTCACACTGCAAGGCTCAAAAAGTGTGGTCGGAATGTACGTTTTGTGTTCATTTGATGTACAAAGTTGTACTGGTATTACATCATGATATCTCTGATCAAATCTCCCGAAAAATAATTCCCAAACAATGCTGTGTAATATTCATTACCACACCGAATTGCCGATCGTTTCCGCTAAATCACCCATGCGTTGAAAAGCAAATGCGCATCTTTCCAAGTCGGAACCCCTTTACAGGTTGGCAAGGACGGCGGCACCGCCGAAGAGAGCACCCATACCGATGGCAGCGGTCTGAGCAGGGCCAGCAGCGCCAGGGGCGGAAGTGCTGGTAGCCTCGCCGGCGGCGGAAGTGGCGTCACCAGCAATGGACGAGGCAGCGGAGGAGGCAGCGTCGATGGCGGAGGAGAAGGAAGCGGAGGCAGAAGCGTCGGTGGCAGTCGCGATGGCGGAGCTCAGGGATTCGAGTCTGGAGGAGGCAGCACCGGATGCGGACGCGAGAGCGGAGGAGAGCTCGCCGGCCTGAGAGGAGGCGGCGCCGGAGATGGAGCTCAGGGCGGAGCCAGCGGCGCTGGAGAGGCTGCCGATGAGGGAGCTGGCCTGGGTGGCGCCGGGAACGCCGGGGACGGAGGGGGTGGTGACGGTGACGGTCTCAGCCTGGGCCTGTGGGATGTCAGTTGATTACTCTGGCGATTTGTCCTGATGGTCAACTTACAGCAGCCAGGGCGGCGAAGGCAAGGACGGAAGCGGCGGAGAGACGCATTTTGATTTGGTTGTTGTTTGGTGGAAGATTGGTGGTGGTGATTAGAGATTGATGGTTTCGATGATTCGAATGGATATTGTACAGCTGGGTTGATTGGTAAAGTGGAGGGAAAAGAGTTGCTAACCACAGCTGACGGAACAGAGTCTTATATATCTCTCGACAACCCGTTTGACGCCAAGAGGCATCTGTCTTCCGCCATCCACACACGCCCCATCTGCATCACTCCTCTCCTCGGTCAGGTCCTTCTGTTCGCTGCCGAGAGAGAGAGAGCAAGGCCAGGCACCACCGACGGACGAATCCTCCACAACGCTAGGCACATCCTTGGCGTGTGCATGCCACGCCCCCCGGGGAGGAGGACCGCGGGTGGCACTCCGAGACTGGCTTGACTGGAGACGACAGATGATGATGGCGATGAATGGATTTGGCCGGGCTGCAGTACGGATACCGGACGGATACGTACTTCGTACCGGGGACCGCTCAGCCTTGGTACGTGTGCAACGGACCCATGTCGGTAATGTGCAACCTTGGATGGAGAAGGAGGCGGGACGGGCGAGAGTGGACGAGAGAGAAGCGGATCCACACCCCTCACGTCATCCCCGCGGCAACAAATGCAGTCCTCCGATTTGAGCTCTTAGCTGGGGGAGGAGCTTTTTGATGGAGAGAGAGAGATCAGGCTACGGCTGATCTGAGTCTGAGACGGGGATTACAATCCGTCGGTTATTCAATGATGAGTGCCGCGCGAAAGGTAATTAGAATACCCAGTCACTGCTCGTCATGTTCATATTGGAGAGAGAGAGAGAGAGAACCGAGAAGCCATATCAGGCTGAGGTCTCTAAGCTCTACACAAAGCAACGCCACGGAAGAGTACCGAAGGCGAAAGGAAACAATCCGAGGACCCAACGGACCAGACGGGACGCTACACTAGCTAACACCGACCAAGCCTCATCCCGTTTGGCTTGGATGTGGATCGTCAGTGCTACACACGAGTAATAACGCCCCAACATTGACAAAATGGTGGCGCTGGCGTTTTCGCGGTTAAACGGTCGTTCCTATTGTTTGTCGAAAGCCTTCCAGTTTCTCCCAAGATAGCAGCAAGCAAGGGAGGGTGCAAGCACGCCCGGGTAGCAAAGACACGCGGGCACCTAAAAAAACCAAGGTAGTGCGAGAATCCGAAAGGTACAAGCTTAACTCCAATGACCGAGGCCGTCCAGTCACAACAGTACGTCAACCTTTTTTCCCATCCCACATCATCCACTTGGGATGATTCGCGTCTCGTCATGATCGGAGAACGGAACGAGACAAGTCAATAGACTGGAGCCGTCTGGTGACTTGTTGAGCATCCGATGTAGCAGTGAGGCGGTGGTCGTAGATTCTCTTCTGCCTTGGTACCTCTTCTGCTGATGTAACTCGTCCACCGTTACATCATTACGGAGCTCGCGAGCAAACGGGGAAATGTGATCCAACATTGAGTACCGAAATACGGGACGGGGAAAATGGAGGAGCCCCAATGACACCATGGGAGCCAAGGACCAGGGTGTCGCGGCGGAGGCGAGGGAGTCGACGATCGACAGGAGGTGGGTACTTTCTGACGCGACTGATTGGCCGGAGACCGGGGTGGAAGGGGCGGGTCATGGCGTTGGAGAAACAAGGTCTCGAATTCCGCCGCCTGTCTCTGGTTCTTCTTTTTCCCTTCTCACCCATTGTCCGTTTGCCAGTCAACAATGCCAGTTCACAATTTCGAATGGGGCCTTTTCAATGCATCCACGTCCTGTTGGACATCTCCCGCCCCCTTGCGGCAGTGCTGTGAAACACAACGCTACGCATTGAAAATGGCTGCCGCAGAAACAGCAGCAGCAGTAGCGGCCTTCCGAATAAGCAACGGCTTTTTGAGGCGGCGGGAAGCGTTAGGACGACGGAGATGACGTTGGCAAGGCGATGGGCCGACCGTCGTTCACTCAAACCCAGCGACGTTTCCGAAACCCTACCGCAACCAACGATGCTCCTTCGACCCAGCTGAGAGCACGGCTGAGGAGCTGAAGGAAGGTTGGCGAAGCCGCCGGGAACAGAAAATACCGACGTTCCGCCGCCGCCGCCGCCGCCGCGCCCACTTCCTCCTCCTCCCCGGATCGCTGCCACCCAATCCAATTCAACGGGTCCATCATCCTTCTTGTCCCACGCGAGCAGAGAAAGGTAAAAAACGGAACTTTCGTCCGTTTGCCTGACTGACCGACAATTGGATCTTCCTGTCAGCTCCCAAGACATGGGAGGGCTGTGTTGTCAGCTCAGCACACCGCAGCAACACCAGCAAACTTCCCACTTGCAGTCGGCAGTCACGCAAGGGGTGCCACTGACAAAACGCGAGTTGCTGAACCTGACTAATCTCTCACTTTGTAAGGCCAGCACCGAAAATTGGAACGGAGTCGTGCAGTCCGTGTTGAGTCTCGTTTGTTTGAGCTAGACAGACGAGACGAACGACCGGTAGGAGGATCACGCAAATGACGTACCGGTGACAGGGCACCACTGGTCTGGCCGCCAACCACCCGCCGTCAAGGGCCATCAAACGTGACGACCAATGCCAGTTTCACAACCACAGCAAAGAACATCCTCTTGCCGGATCGAGAACCTCCTCCCCTCACCTCGCAACCGTGGTCATACTACCACTTACTGCTCTCGGTGTTTGCATGCAGGCTTGTGGAGTAGGACTATGCAATCGGTCGGAAACAGATGCACCGGGAGGGGGGAGAATGGGGTAGGGGCAGCTTCTTGGGGTTTGGCTTGGTATTGTCGCCTGGCTAACATCAACCGCAACAGCAACCTACTGCACTGAAGAGGGATCTGAACATGAAAAGTGATTACCAGATCAGACGGGGCGAACGGATGGATGGATGGAAGGACGGACGCAGTGGCGTTCACGTCGTCGCAAGTTCCGTCCAAATACGTACAGAGCACCGTCAGCAGTAGCGAGCGTCCCGGCGTTAAAGGATTCCATCCATACTGCTGCCGCCGTTCAGCTCAGCCTTGGAGGAAGCACCTCGTCAAAACATCGCCGCGTAAGTGCCAATTCTCGTGCCGCGAGAGCCAACTACGTCACAGGAGGTCGGTGTGTGCATTGGTCCGTTCCCTCTCTGTGTGATTGATGTGCGCCGCGCCGCTGGTTCGTTTCGATTCTGGGACGACGCGCGATGTCGAGGTTCGGATTAAGGTGAGGTCTATGCAGCAATTTCCTTTTCCCTATGACCAATCAACCAAATAATAATGTTACCGGGATGCGCTACGGATATTGGAATTTGGCCAGCGTTCTAGATCTGGTTCTACGGACTCTTCTGCCGTCTAGCTGGTTTCAGACCTCTGGAATTTTCATGTGTCTTCTTCGTATCCCGTCGCCACAATGCGAGACATTTTCTCCCTTGGGGACTGGTTTCCCACGTGTGAAAAACGCTCAAGAAAGCTCAAAGACGAGAAGCTAACCGGACCTTGACTAATCAAGAAGAGATATACTACCTTACCACCAAAGCGACGTCGGGAATCAGGACACTACGCTATTACTCCGTCGTGTCAATCAATGTTCCACGTTCCACATTGTTCCACCGTACAGACTACAGCAGCGATTCTCGGGATTCTCCATCCTCGGATGATTCGAGGCGAGGATGAGAGGGGACCATCTTTGACCGGGCAAAAGGTTCAAGTTACACCACAGCCGCAGCATCTTTTCAGAGCCATTCGCTGCACACCGTCACCCCGAGAAGGCCAAGGCCGATCTGCAGTTTCTGCTGCTGCACGTAGTACTCAGCCTGGAATCCATTGTTTCTGATCATGTCTATTGCCATTGTGTCTCATCTGCTGCCGCCAAACTATCTCTGGGGCTTGGGATCAAACGGGACAAGAAGAAAGAGAGAGGGAGGAACATCAGCTCATGCACCGACAATCCCCATCTCCTCTCCCCCATTGCCTCATCTCGCTCATCCATCGTGCCATCAAAAACCCCCAGTCTCAACCGAGAGTGCCTAGCCTCGCCCAGCCCGACTTCAGTAGGGAGGAGCACCGCGGCGCCAAGCATCCCGGCCCGCGGCTCCAATCGCATTGATCTGCATGACGCAGGAGCCAGGATGCGAACCTTAATCGGACATGTACCCCACGCAGCAATCCCTCCACCCTCCACTTGCGTGCTGTCCAATGGTTCATCGCCTGCTCGTGTCCGTTTTCCCTGTTTGTCTGCGCTGCCACCCGAAAAGGAGGGGGGCCGCTTGGTATATTACATAATTCTCGTCCTCCCATCATGAAGACGTAGCCCACTTTCGTTTCCCAAAATAAGCAGCAATAGCAATTGCGGTGACGCGTAATCGCTCCGGGGGCGGATTCGTCCCGACCAACCGAATCCCGGGTCATGTCAGCAAATGTGGAGATCGCCGCTGACCGCGACTCCCGTGCAGCCAGGACGTCACTCCATGGATAGAATGCCGGTTTTCGGATGTGGCGGTGAATACGTGGCGTGGGCCCTCGTATCTGTGGCGGGGACGACGACCACGACAACAACGATGCATCCATAATGATGCACTCCAACCTCACATGCACGTTCATGCGAGCAGGACGGGGGTCTTAGCCCATAACTTGAGATACACCCTTCCTCAGCTCATCGACGATTTCATGCGCCTCCTCGACCGACTTGGCCTCGAAATCGTAGCGCTTGCTCTCTGTGTCACGATAGATGAGGACCTGTAGCACGTGAGACGTCAGTTTCTCAGTCCCTGGGACGGGCTGCTTAGCGATCTGTAAGCGGACTCACCTTGAACTGGTTGGGATGCTTGCTCGACACTTTGCATCCAATGACCTGCGAAATATGCGCCGTAGTCGTTTTGGAATCCCTCGTCGTAGGCTTGATATGGACGTACTCGCCGTCAATCTCGAATCTCTTCTCCGACTGCGTAATCATGCGGACAGTTCGCAGACGCCAGACGACCCATGCTTTGTGGTACGCGCTGGTAAGCTCAGCCTGTTTGATCGCCTCCTGGGCAAGTGGGTGGCTTCCCATGATGTGCGTCTTCTTGGCTTTGCGTCCCGGTGGGCCGTCCACGAAGGGGAGAAGCTTGGGCGACGAGCTGCTTGGCGAACCTGTCATGGCGAGCGGGCCGTCTGTAGCAAAGCGGCGACGATGCAGCTCCAGATCTGACAGGCTGCCAATAGCCGCGACCTTGGTATCGAGCAGAATAACCGGTCCGCCGCCGGGCATTTTGAGGACATGATTGGCCTTATCCAATTGTCTCTTACGACAAACCAGGTCGAGAACCTCGGCCATGTACGTCTCCGTCGTGGTGTCGAGCGTGACCAGCTGCCCGGGTGCCACATCCGTAGAGTGAAGATGTACCCGCAAAAGCTTCTGCTGACCACGGCTGGTGTTGGGTGCAGCAGCGGGCGCCTGAGGTGCGTCGGCGAACATACTATGCTGTTGACGATAGGTAGTATTCGTAACGGGGTTCGGGCGTGGCTCTGTTGCAACAGGAAGGAACTGGTGCATATTCGGCTGCGGCGTATTGCGAGGAGTCGTATCTTCGTCAATGACCTCTTCCGCGGCCGCCTCCTCTTCTTCGGCCTGAGGCGTGATGCTTTGATTCTCGTTGAACTCAGACTGGGAGGCCATGACCAGACCAAAGTTGTCATGCGTCTTCGAGTTGGCGCGCATTCTTCCTGCTGCGCGGTTGTTCGCCGTTGTGAAAGACGTCAACGCCTTAGTGCGCTCAAACGGCGGGAAATCGTCGTCGACCTCACCATCCTCTTCCACCATTCTAAGGGTGAACCAGTTGATGTTCGACTTGTCGGCAGCGATGGGCGGCTCCCGCTTTTCCTCGTTGTATCTCCAAAGAGCGAGACCAATAAGATCTGACACCGTAACAGAGCGGTCACCACCTTCGCCGTGGTGCACCATGCGGCGGATGAGAACCTCAAAAGGCTTTCCAGGGTTGTCCGAGAACGCGGGATAGATGCGGACGGCAATCGGATTGTTTTCGCCTTGGCCGGATAGTGCAGCGAAGTTCTCGAAGGGCACCTTCGGTTTCGTTTTTCTGGCCTTCAGGGCGGCAGACAGCAGACTCTTAGGCTGAATCATGCTCATGGGCCGAATAGTGCTCATAGGACGAGGGGGAGGCAGGGGCCGCAAGATTCTCGGCGGTGCTTGGGACTTGCGAATAGTCGATGTTCTGGTGAACTCGCGAGGAGGTGTTCCAACAACCTGCTTGTGCGGAGGCGGCTCAGGGTTCTCGACCGCATCGAGAATCGAGGCCGAATCAATACTCTCGACGTAGGCACCGGACATGTCTGATCCATCTGAATCGTCTTCCTCCTCCGGTAACAGCTCCGTGCCCGTTCGCTTGATTCCCAAGGAAGGCTCCTCCATGATCTTAGCCTGGAGCTTGACAGACTTCGCCGCAGCCCTGGCGGCCTCTCGCTGTCGGTGAAAACCGGATGCGTCGAACTCGTTCTCCGAGGATACCTCGCTGCTAGTGACGGTGTCTCTTCTCGCTCTCTCTTTGACAATTTCCAGCGCCGACTGAGATCCTCTCCGCGCTCCCGGTGCCGCCCGAGGAGACATGGCTGGAGACTGTTTGATTTGCGACGACTGAATCGGACTGGAACCGGCCCTCGATCTAACGGGCATCTTGGCGAACTTGATCTGCTGCGCCGCTCGCTGTCCAGGATCGTCGTCGTCGCTCTCATCACTAAGATCGCTACTATCGTCGTCCTCCAAGGTCTCGCGTCGTCTTCTCCTCCTAGTAGCTATGCCGGGACCCAAGGTATCGGTGCCCCCGCTAGTCAACATTCCAGTCTCGTCGGGTTCATCTTCGAGGGTGACCCCAGCTTGGCGCGGGGCTTGAAAGTATTCGGAAGCAATCGCGGTCGGGATTGGAGGGGAGTAGCATCGCTTTACGAGATCGGGGTTTGCCTGCCAAGCGACAGCCTTGAAAGCCGAGGAGTTCATGAAGCCCTCATTGAGGGTAATCAGGCGTTCACCAACTCCATCAGCGATTTCAGTGAGGTAACCGCAGCGCAGTTGGTACGCGACCAGCCTGTACAAGAGAATAAGTCAGCGACTTCCCAAACATAAAAGAAATCAAGGCGCATACTCTTCGTTCTGGATGACCGACATCGCGGGCAGGGGTGCAACCGGTCACCAGAGGATGGAAGTGAAGGGGATTGCTCAGCAAAAGACCATGCCAAAAGAAATCAAATCAACGGAATCTACGTCCAAGATTTGACAAAGAACATGATTGCAAGCGCAGCTCACAAAGCTCAGAAGTAAAGTGATAGCGAAGATGGTGAGGTTGTGGCAGGGCAGCAGCTCGTCGAGGGGTAACTTGGGAGTCGCGCCTTCCTCAGCCTTGTGAAACAGGTGAGTGGGAGGGGTGGCTCGTGCGCTGGAACCTTAGTGGGTCTCAGAGCAGCCTTGCAGGAGGTGTGGCGGTGCGGTTGCAACTTCCATCCAACTTCCATTTCCTCCAGTCTTGGTAACAATTGCAGCATCACTTCATCAACTCCATTCTTCCAGAATTCAGTAGTCGCAAAATGGGTCTGGTAGACTACTCAGAATCGTCCGGATCGGAGGACGAAGCGCCTCCCAAGCCCACCGTCGCCAAACCCTCATCAAACACGACAAAGAAGCCCTTCCAAAAAGTCGTCGACCGATCGAACCCAGGCAAAATCCTCGTCAACCTCCCATCGACCAAATCCGACGACCCCAAGCCCCCGGCAAGCGACGAGCCTCCCGCAAAGCGCGCTCGCACAGCGGGAGGCGGCCGCTTCAGCGGCTTCAACTCGGTCCTACCCGCACCGAAGAACGCCGCCAAGGCCGCCGCACCTGCGACGAGCAGTAGCTCGTCGCGACCGGTTTTCCAGCTCAAGACGGGAGCCGAGCCTGGGTTCAGCCGTGACAGAGGCGATGGCGAGGCATCGGGCTCGGGCGACGGAAATCTCAGCCTACCGGCCCCCAAACAGCCGTCGATACCAGAAGGCATGAAGTCGGAGGAGGAAGTGAAGCTCGTCGGCAAGCCGATGATGTTTAGGCCTCTGTCTGTCGCCCGCAAAACCAAGAAGAAGACGCCGAGCTCAGTAACACCCAAAGCCCAACCGGCGCAAGTCCCAAGCACAGCACCGCAAGAGACACCAGCGCCTGCACCAGCACCAATACCAACACCGGCGCCGAAGAAAGTATCCCTCTTCTCTATAGAACCCGAAGAGACTTCCTCCGAACCCGGCCCCAAGAGCGGCACCTACGAACCCCTCTTCGAGACACAACAAGACGAATCGAACGGCTACGCCGATTATGCCTCGCACTCCAACTACCCCGCCCCATCGACAGCCCCGACCAACTCGAACTCCCTCGATAACATCGCCGACGACCTCAACCTCTCCGCCGCCGCGCGCCGCGAGCTCTTCGGCAGACAGAAAGGAGGTGCGAACGCCCCGACGGCGTCGCGCGTCATCAACTTCAACACAGACGAGGAGTACAAGCACAACGAGGAGCTCCGCGCCGCCGGCCAGCAGCAGATCCACAACCCGGTGCGCTCGATCGCGCCGGGCAAGCACAACCTGCGGCAGCTCGTCAACGCCGTGCAGAATCAGCGCGAGGCCCTCGAGGACAGCTTCGCCCAGGGCAAGAACAACAGGAAGGAGGCGTCCAGCCGGTACGGTTGGTAGGCGAAGAGGAAGAAGGCACAGCAGCACGAAATAATGATACCCTGACTTTTTTTTTCCAATGTGGAAGATCCGCTCTTGTTTTTGAATTGATGCAGGTAATGTACAAGACGATGATTGCCATCGCAAACCTTGGTATCCAAACTTTGTACTCGTGAAGTCGTGACCAGAAAGAAAGAGAAGAAAAACTATCATACAGAAAGAAAGAAAAGGTCCCGAAACCGTCTAAACGTCTAACATGCAAACCCCCGCACTTCAGAAAGTCACGACAGGCGCGGTTCGACCGCTGCCCACCCCGCTGGGGCCCATGAGGAATCCCCATTCACCCCTGGTGATGGGTGAGATATCGTCATACCCGTTCGGCGTCATCGGGCCCAGTCTTTGCCGGTCCTCGACGAAGCGATCTTCATGCAGTACTTCCGCGATCGAAACCGGACTCCACACGGAGACGTTGGGCTGGCGCTCCGGCCGCGCCGTCAGGTCCTCGTCCTCGGAAACCTCGTCTGCTTCCATGACAGGTGGTGATGGCTTGGTGTCGAAGTTGGTCTGCAGCTTCAGCACGGGGCCCTTGGGCGAGGGCGGCTTGCCGATCTTGATGGTGCCCATGGCGGCGGCCCTGGTGTCTTCGACATCCCTCTCAAGCTCCTTCATCGTCTGCTCCACGCATGCAGCCGAGCCGACACCTTCGATGGCGCCGACGCGGTCCGGTCCGCCGTAGGCCCTGCGGTACATCTTGTCGACTTCTGAAAGGGCAGCGTCGGACACGCTGAGCCAGTCATAGGAGCGGAGCAAGTCAGACTTGGAGACCTTCTTGCCTGCGCGGGACAGGACGAGACGGCGCAGCTCGTCGACGGCGTCTTCGAGTCTGAGAGGGGCGTTGCTGCGAGAGTAGCATGAGAGAGCCGCCTTGAAGGTGTACAGGCGATCCAGAGACACGAGTGTCAGGCCTTCAGAGGCGAAGAGGACTTCATTTTGGACGATGGAGCGGCGGATGAGGCTGCTTGTCAAGCCGCATGCGGAACCATCGACTACTGGGGGAAGCCATTCGGTGCTGTGGTTGTTAGTGGGAGTTTTGCCCGAAGCTGGAGAGAGACATACCCGATGCGGAACTTCTTCTCCGCACGCTCGATGGTCTGGCGAAGAGTTCGCTCTTGCTTGTCCGTGAGCAAGTCGGCATGGATGAGGCGAATGCCGAATGGGTTCGGCGACATGGGACCGGAGGCGTCCGTGATGGTGGAAGATGCGACTGATGGCGTCATAGGAGGAGGCGAGAGCGGGATACCAGGTGACAGGGGCCACCTCAACCTCGGGCCGTTGGTGTCCATCAAGAACGAAGGAGTGAAGGTGAACGTCTCGGGGCTGCGCTGGGCCTCGCTACCGGCCGATGAGACAGTCGACACAGATGAGATGCTGGAGCCGGTATTGGTCCTCACGAGCTTCTTGAAGGAAGAGACGGGAGAGCTGAAGCCGAAGCGCGCAGAGGACAACGGAGGTGAACGCGGAGGTGAGCCGGGAGGCGACAATGTGGGCGAGGAGAGGGCGGATGACGAAGGCAGCAGCGTAGGGAGCTGGTACTCCCTCCTGGCGACGACGAGGGTTACGTGAAGAGCCTTCCGGGCGAGCCTCTTGGAGGCATACTCGAGAGCTTCATTAAGGTGCGGCGGCAGGTTCTGGACGTCGAGGATGGAGGTGCCGGCCTCCAGAGGTGACGAGATGCGACCCTTGAGAGCCATGTTGACCAGAGGTCTCGCAAGGTCGTGAGAAGAGAATAGTCGAAGTGAAAAGCGGTCCAATTGGTATTAAAAAGAATCGGTAATGGACTCTGAGCGCCAGGCCTTGAGCTGTTGAAGGAGCGTTGTTGAAGGGAAACGTTGAGCCGGCGTCGACGCCTTTTTTGATTGAATGATCTTCGTCTTTGATGTCGAGGACGGTGAGGGTTGGAAGGATGGAGGGTAAGATATATCAACAAACGGTGGCGCGCCGTCTCCTCCTCAAAGCTCCCCTTTCAGGCGAGGGAAAATCTGAAACAAGAGCTTTGGTGTGTAAAGACCCTTGTCATTCGAGTCCGTCCTTTCTCTTTCTCGTGTACGCGATGCAACTCAAAACAGCCTTATGGGTATGGTACCTACAGACAGTCAGGACCCGCTTGTGTGTATCTCTTTCGAGAAGAGCTGCGCAAGATACGGACGACGACGACCACGACTACGACGACAACTTTCGGATGGTGATCCACACCCTGGGCAGATACCATGCAGCTTTTTGAATGCCGGGGTAAGGGTCCTAAGGGGGAAGCCGGGGGACCAAGGGAAATAAAAGTGGGATAAAAAAAGGTTTCCTGGGCGTCGTGGCGTGGCGTAGGTGATCTGACAAGAACGTTGTGTATTTGACGAGTGAGGCTGGGCTGGGCGCCAAAAAAGATGAAACCCGTCTCTTCTAGATGACCTTATCGAGAGTAGGGGAAGGGGGGCGTGTGCGAGCCGTTGTAAGTCCACGTTGAGCGCAAGGAACAAAAAAAAAATAGGAGAGTGGGATTATTTTCGTTTCATGATCTTCTATGATCCCCCCCCCTTCTTCGCTTCTGTTCGTTCGCCTCTTTCGAGAGAGAGCAACTGGTGACGAGGCCACCGAGGCAAAATGCCGTGTCGCATGGTTGACGGGCCAAGGAAAGTGGGAGGGTGGGAAGGAAAGAGGAGCCGATTTCGCGCCGTGATGTGATGGTGCGGCCCCCTCCCCCGCCTGTCATCTATCTCAGCCCGTCATCAAACGACACGGCGGACGTCTTCTACCCTGACCCGGTCCGTCTTTAGCAACGGCGATAATCCCTTTCAAAGGATAGGCGGTAAGGAAAGGTAGCTAAGCTTGAAGGTAGAGAGCCATTGCTGATGGGCTGGCTACGGTACCTCCTACTAATTTGAGAGCAGAACGATGAACTACTGCACTTCCATCACATCACGCACATGGAAAAGACCTAAAAATGAAGTCGGGAATGGAGGCTCCCCCTCTTTCTTAGGGTGATTCCCCTCATCAGCAATTAATTATGACATCTACCCAAAAAGCCAGTCCGTCCAATCGTAGAATTTCACCGGCTCCTTTCACCGCAGTAGCGTCACCTAACCCTTCATCTCCCGTGCCCTTCGGCGGCTACGGTGCTATTTTCAGCGTCTCCCCGCGCCGTTGAGGGCGCGCCTCATTGGACGCAGGGGTCGGATCTACGCAGCGTACAGATCGACGTGTGCGTGCCGGGCAGGGATTCCTGCATGACCGGGCCCGCCGTTCTCGCCAGTGTCAAAAATAGATTGCCCGCTGCGCTGCGTGATGGGCGATGGCAGCTTTCACAGGCACAGGCAGGAGGGGCCCAGATGCTACAGTGGTCCGCGCTCGGCGCTCGAAGCGGCAGAAGGAAGGGATGGCAGGTGGACGAGTCGTTAAGCGATGCTTTTCAGCACCATTGATTCAGAAACTTCCAACTTTTGGGGACACCCGAACGACATAGAAACCAAGAATTCTTCTAGAATAAGGGCCTGGATCCTCACGTACATGTTTACGAACTGCTTCAAAACGTTCAGCCCATCGAATCGAGACCCAGAAAAAGAAGTTCCAGAGACATTTCATTCCAACCGAACCCAGGGCAGTTGAGGCTGAGCGCCAATTTACTCGAGTTCCGTTGTCACAGACGGAAAAATAACCTACTCCGCCAACAAGAAGTGCAATTTACCCCAGGATACTTCCCGCTTCGCTTGGCGTTGTCCCGTCTCGAGATGCCCTCGAGATAAATTGCTCTCCCGCGTGGTCGTGGGGAGATTAGCCGTAGCGACTCTTCACCGTGATCGCGATCGTTACAGAGCTCAAGACGACGGAAACCGGCCAAGACTTGGCGACGACTCGGTAGCTCGAGACCAGCATCATACTTAAGGGCAGCAGATTAATGATAGCTCGCCCCCGCTTAGTAACGAGAACATACTTTTGAAAGAGTAACAGAAGCCACAACTCCTCACCTTGGCTTTCTCTTGCCACCATCACGATTCCCCTCGCAAACCACCAACATCGATCTCGTCCTCGTCCTCGTCGTCGCATCATCCCCCTCACCATGCTCTTGGCACCAAAAACCTGCCAAGAAGGCCCCCAAAAAACCATCAATCACCCCATACCATCGCCAACCGACCCCGATCTCGAACATTTTCGTCCCAACTGCCCCTGTGCTGCCACTCCAACATCATTTCCACAACGTCCCAGCAGCGTGGTTGCCGCAACGCCACCCGCCCAAAGTCTGAAACACCAGACGCACGTCACCAGATGAGCTGGGCTGAGCCTCACACCACCGCCCGGCTCCCACACGAAACCGTCAAACTACGCCAAAACCTGCTTTTTGTTCCTTTCTGTTGAGCGGCCTGCAGCTGTCATTCCCGTTGTTTTCCTGTCAAAAAAGCAAATGTAGAGTAAGGTAGGCACACATACACACACTCGTGCTTTGACGTTGTGTATGCATAGTCCTACCCGCTGTCAACCTTCGTCAGCTTCCGGATCTTCGGATCTTCAAAACGTCTTTGTCCAAACGATCACCCTCCCCTGCCCTCCTTTACCCCCCTTCACGAACTTCGAACGTTCGAACAACTCTGTTTCGCCCAGCCAAACGTCCTGCCAAGCAAACACCCCGCCATTTCGGTATGCATCGTGAAAGCGGCAGATGATCCTGAGAAACCACATCATGAGAGCAACGATACGGCAAATCATCACTCGGCAGATTCTCACTCGATATTGATTGCTAATCCTTTTAGTGACGGTAACATAGCCCCTCTCTGACGAAATCGGCGTTTCGACATCGATATCCCGGCCGGTACGGGTATCTTGAAACGGAACCGGACGGGCTCACGTCGGACCTTCATCGCCCGATGAGGCTGAAAGTACTGCGAAAAATAAGCGCCTTTGGCGATGTATACAACTTGAAATTTTCTAACATTCTCCCCCGAGGCAAAGAGTTGAAATCCATACGTGAGAGGTAAGGATAGCGGGTGCCAGCCTACCAAATCTTGGTGTGACGGCACGTATATGGATGAGGTGAGCATTGGAATGCCTTTCCTGATGCAGAATCACCAATCTCTCACCATTTCTCTATTGCCCTTTCCACTTCATGGTATAAGGGTCAGATTTGGTGATCTATTCTGTCCTACACGTCTGACGTGTTCATGAATAGTGACGTTGTAGTAGCGTAGAAGGATCATCAGAGCACGAGCGGGTGTACTTACTATTTTATCTTGTTGCTGAAGAATAGGAACCACAAGGTAGATATGTAGTCAGGACCTGCCGATCAAGTTTTCGACCGGTCAATAAGGTAGTTCGTCAAGATAATCCAAACTGGGAAAGAGCTTTCTCCGATCCCACGACTGCACATCTTATTAGGTATACTAGGTACGGAAACCTTGTATCGAGAAACCGCCATAAAGCTCATTCAGAGCCGGGCACCAGTTCATCTTCATACTAGGTACGGAAAGACGCACTCGACGCACTATGACAACTCGCCCTTGAAATCAAAACCACTCCAATGATTAACAACAAACCTGCATCACCCACGCCCGCGACCACCATCCGGCGAACAGTCCCCTGGAACACAGAGGACCTCATCCATCTAACCCTCCAAGATCTACGCCAGAAGCACCGCCTCATCAAAATTGAAGTCAGCTGCCTCAAGCACCTCCTCAATGAGCCTTCTGACGACACCCCAGAATCGCCTTGGCATAAACACGGGGCTCTAGCGGGCTGGCGCGGCGAGATCGCGCCCATTCAAGGCCACGCCGTAGCACGGCGAGAAGTCAGGGACGGATGCCACGATGACATCGAGAGTATCGACGACTGGTACCGCAACGGCCACGCCGATAGGTTTCTGATAAAACGCCTGGCATGTCAACAGATCGAAGAAATCGCCAGGAGACAGGCGGGCTCGCCGCCTGATACCGAAAACACCAGACGTCAGGAATGGGAACTACGTCAACTCTTCGATTTATCTCTTGGAGGCATCAAGAACACTATCAGCGCATGCGGCGACGAGATCTCGCAAAAGCATAAAAGAATGCAACGGCAGATGGTCAAGAGATACTGCCCGAACCACAGATTCAAGGACCAGGTTTGAGACCCCGTCATCGGCGACTGGACCCACGAACTCTGTAGCACGGTAGCCCATCTGTACCCATGGCGCTTCGCGTCTTGCATGGATGGCGTGTTCGCAGTCGAGTCTTCCACGGAGTTGTATACCCCGTTCAACGGACTGTTTCTGGATAACTACATCAGGAAGGGGATCGAGGAGGGCATCATCGCCATCGTCCCCGACGTGGGCCTGGAGCCTGGATCCTCTGAGGAGGAACAGAAAACATACAACAAAAACCTCAACGAGTGGAAAGCCCGGAGTGATCAGGATTACAAGATCATAGTCACCGACCCCGACCACCCATCCGCCGTGACCATTAAGTCATTCAGCTTGCGCCACCCCGAGTTCGAGCGACTTACTGACTTCGACGGCCGCAAGCTGATGTTCCAGACCGACTTCCGTCCGAGACGTCGGTATCTCTGGTGGATGTTTCTGTCCTCCGTCGCTGTTGCGTCGTGGCGGCGGCGAGACAGAAATGGAAGTGGCAACATAATTGACGACCGAATCCGCAAGGCCTTCGCATACTGGGGCAGTCCGGGAGTAGGACAAGTCAACCCCGACGTGATGAGGTCTTTCGTGCGTGCGATTGGAGGTGGCGCGGAGAGATGTCTCAACCGCTGCAAGCATCGCCTGGGAGACCATCATGATCTCGGTGTCTCGGTCGTCGCCTTCGACCGCCAGTATCCCGTCATCAACGAGAACTACGAACCTCACGTCTATTATTCGGACGATGATGACGACATGTTCGCATAAAGATGGACGGACGCCTTTCTGCTTGCTACACTTAAACCAGATCAGATACCCCATAGACATAGACGAACAGAACTGACCACAAGACATTCCGAAAAAGTTGCCCGATTTGGTATGTGATGCACACTGCGATTAGCCACCGTCCGAACCTCTCAAACGTCCCTTCCATCATCGCCCCCGGTCGGTCCTACACCCCGGCCCCGCCTCGGACGGCGACCGACATCCCAAAAGCCGCATCATCCGACATCCCACTCACCCAGACAAACCGCTTTACCTTGCATACGAAAAACCTGGATCTAAACCCGGAAAAATCCCAACGACATCCCCTCCGCAAGCGCGGAATCGTGAGAACTGAATTGACCAATCCCCATACACACAGGAAAAATCCCTGCCCAGATCTACCTCGCCCATGATCCACGGGCGACGGGAAACAAAAGAATCCATGTGTTTAAAAACAGAAACAAGCTCCATCCATCCCACGTGGGAAAGCGAATTACAATAGTCATCCATCTTCTTCCATGTGTAAACTTGCCCCTCCCTCATCCAAGCCAACCACCGGCCTCTGCCCCCCCCTGCAATGACCGTGAACCAATGGTATGTCCCCCGCGACCTCCGAACTCATGTACCGATGGCACGGCGGCTAGAGACTCCGCTAACACGATGACCACGACCAGCTTTGCCCCCCAAATCACCTCAACCACGCAAAAACACTCACGAAGGTTGATGTCTAATCTTGGAAACCCCCCTGTCGCCATCTCAAGATCATCAGTGCCTGCCACTCGGAGCACAGTAACGATGATAAATCGTGCCGATTCGTGTCCAAAGATATTGTGTGGTTCTTATTTCTCTCGCTAAACCTCGTTTAAGGTCACCGCTAGCTACCCTGGTGTCGACTCTATTCCGCTGCCATGATTCCGTTGCTATGATGCCACCTCAAGAGCATTGACATCCAACAGAGGCAGCCTGCTTGCTGCTTAGGGCGAATCATCTCCATTTGAGGTCCTCGAGATTTGGGCTGATCATATCGCCCGTCAGACGTCGTAAAACCGTCGCTCTTTCCTGAACCCTTAACTCCAGCACGCCTTAAAAATGCAAGAAACCTTCCCGTCCCTGTGTAGCGCTTCATGTCGCTGATCCCCATGTCTGTCCCAAATGACACTCGTCTCCATGACGCCTTGCGTGGTTGGACTGTTTCCTAGCATGCCGCACAATGGAAGTTCTGAAAGTAAGGTCGTGGTCATTCAAGTCATCAGAGGTGTTGTTCCATTCATTGACAAACGCCATCTGGCAAATCACCGACCGCCTGCATGCTGATGTCTGCTAGGCTCTCTAGCTGTCCTGATGAATTCTCCCAATCTGGGCCGGCGTCAAGTCAGCCCTCACGGTTCTGAGTCGAGGGTTTCCGTGTCACTGAAGTAGCCTGGGGACATACCGGAGGCATCATCCTCCAATTCCTCTACTGCGACGCGGCGGAGTGGCTCCATGATGTCTAGAGGCGTTCGTTAGCTTCTCGGTCCGATCGATAGATGATCTGGAATGCTTACCCTGGAAGAGCTCTTGGAATTCCAAGTGCGTAAAGACCCGGTTCCTATCTCCTTCCACATCGAGCTGGAAGTAAGGCTCGCACTCTAGAATAATGTTTTGCAGGCTCTCCGTATGCTGCTTGACCACTTGAGTCCTTCGCTGCAGGAAGTTGTCTCTGAGGTACCACAAACAATTCACAGCGAGCTGCCGAGCTGACCTGTTCACGGCCATCGCAAACTTGTCCTCGTGGTTCTCAGGGGGGTATTTGGATAGCCACGCCAACAGGAAATCTTGCGTCTCTCGTCGCACATCGGCCTCATAGTAGCCTAGCAAGCCGGGCGCCCAAATTGGCGCTTGCTCGATGTACAGTGAGATTCTAGCATCTCGTTCGTCCTCGCCGCCGCCGTTTTCCAGACTCTGGTAGGCAGTCTTGAAGAAATGCAGAAAAGCACCACCCTCGGCGTTTTGCAGGGTCCCGCACTGATCGGCAACATGGCGGAAGAGTGCCTCAATGTGAGATTTCGACCTGCTTTGGCTGGAAAACAGCATGGCCGCCGCGATGTACGGCGCTACCGGGTGGCCCACTATTTGACCACTGATCATGCCACGAATGGCCAAAAAGACCTTCATCTCCATGTCGGAATTCAAGGCCATTACTCTTCTAATGATGGAACCCGTAGACAGAGAATCTTGGTTGAGCTCGGTCAGCTTCTTGATGAAGGTGCTGCCAGCCCCCCTTTGCCACTCGTGAACGAGGATGTTGACTTCACTGGACGTCCACGGTAGTTTCTGAGGATGCTGCTCAATGTAAGTCTCCAGTCGCATCTCGGGGTTATCCACGATGGTGTTCGCATCTAGGACATCCTCCAAGCATCCAATGAAGTGGTCAATGAGCTGAATGATCATTTCGTACTGCGTGGCACGGGTGTTATTCGCGCGACGTATGACGTTCGAAAGCATACGGACGTAGTGAGGTGCCATGTCCATGTTTGTATCGGCGAAGATGATGCGCAAAATCCTCACAAACCAATCTTCCGACAGAAGCAAGGATGTTTCCAATAGGCCAAGCTTAGCGAAGGATAGGATCGTTTGAAAGACTTCTGGCCAAGACCGAATGTTGGCGTGGAAGTTGTTCCACAGCGTATCGAACAACTGCGCGACTTGAACCACGATGGGTTCTTCAGCCTCGTCCGGTTGGGAGAGACTCCAGAGCTTGGGGTTTGAGTTCTTCAACTGTCGAAGAGCCGTCATGAACATGCAACCGATGGCAAATCGAACGCTGGCGTCCGGATTTCTCTGGAGGAGTTGTCTGAATGCTTCAGGACGCTCCTGGAAGTATTCAAAGAAGCTCAGAGAGCAGTCGACGCAGCCGAGGCAGGCACGCTCAATGTGACCGCGGAACAGCTCAAAGTAGGGGAGATCCTTGGTTCGAGAGGCAACTTGATCCAGATGGCCTAGCAACATATGCATGGCACGTCGCTCCAACTTATGACTCGGCGAACAGCTCCCGCTATTCCGCATCCTAGTGTGCTGGAATAGCTTGAGAATGAATTTCGAGTGGCTCGGGTCGTAAAGACAGTGCCGTCGTAGGAGTATGGTGTTTTCTCCCAAGATATGGTCGGCAATGTCGTAAGGGACATCAACCTTCAGCGGCGTTGACAGAGAAAGACTCTGCAACTTTTCCTGCTCGGCTCTCAAGACTGAAGATCGCTGATAGAACAGCATGTATGCACTGTAAGTCTTGTCGTAGGTGATGCCGTTGTCGAAAGGCCCGTCTGCGCCGCCAAAAGTCGACTTCTCCAAATCTGCCGGGTTCCACGGAGAAACCATGTCATCGTTGAACTCAAACCAGGCCTCGGAAGACGAGGAAGTAGGTCGCTCCCTGATGTAGGAGTAGTAATGACCAGATTCGGCAGTGCCTGCATGAACAAGAACGCCAACAAGCTCGAAGATATCTTCCTCGCCGGATTCGGAAGGGGACCCGAGATGATCTATCGTGTAGGGTCGCATGTCGATCTTGGTGGGAAAAGAGAAGTAGTCGTTGATTTTGCTACGCATCAAAGTGCGAAGATTGAAGTCAAATCTCTTCAGATGAAAAATCAGGTTGTCGGGGATGTCCTTCAAACACGCCCTGAGGAGGTGGTTAGCTGCACGTTGGCAAGACATAGCAAAAGAAACTGAACGAACCTCTTGACTGCGTCGACGTGACGGTCACAGCTCGAGCATTTGTACTTGTTATCTGCAATTGGTTAGCAAGGTTTGCACCGTCACGAATGTAGCAAAACTTACCCCCTTCCATGATCTCGCCGTCTACATAAGCCTGAAGACTGTCTTGCAGTGTCAATTTTCCCTTGATATCGCACTGAATGGCCGAGAACGGCTCAAGACGTTCAGAGATATGCTCGCACTCCTTGGACGCGACCTGCTGCACCAGTTGACCCCCGTAAAAGGACCTCAAAGCTTGTCTCTCCTCTTCTGTCGAAAGCTGTCCCTCCCAGCGGTCGAAGAGCAGGTTGTAGAATTCGTCCACATCCATCTGATTGTGAATGTCGATGGGTGAGTCGTCATAGGTCTTGATGCAGCCGACGAGTAGGCTGGGATCAATGAACTTGCGGGTGCTCTCCTGCAAAAACGAGAATAGCTTTTGAGTCTCTCTGACCAGGTTGTGAGACTGCAACTGATCTGTCGTGGCGTTGATCATAAACTGACGGAAGCCGGTGTTCATGAACAGTTGAGTAAGAAGCGAGTTCAGATAGCATGTGTTGGAAAGGTTTCGGAGCCCTGAATAACCACATGGAGCTCTCACTGCAGACATACGATCGAATTGCGGCTGAAGTTCGTAGAGGTAAGGGTCGGTATCGTACTCATCATGAGGGACCAGACTGTCCAAGTCGCCAAGTATCACGGACAACTCCCGCGGTGACCTCGTGACCAGACCGAAGATGACCTCCGTCAGGACCGATCTAGTCTGGGTTGACAAGATGCACGATCGACTTTGGGTGCTCTGCGGCCGTGGGGCCGGGAATAGATGTCTCCAGAAAAGCTTCCTGCCGAAGTTATCCGGTAGCTCTTGTCTCACATTGACGCCCATCTCGTCTCTGAGGCAACTGTAGAGCAGATTGGTCAAGCCTTTGGCTACAACGTCCTCCGGGCCAAACTGTCCGAGTTTTTCGGCCGATTCATGTTCTAGCAGAAGTTCGCCGCAGATTTGTGCCAATTCAGGAACGTCCACTGCAGCCGGGTTGTTGCGAACCAACTCGGCCAGCAGCAAGTGGGAAAGTGCAAAGACTTGCTGGCATTGCTTGGGCAACTCTGCCGCCGTGGGGAGGAGTCGGTTGAGAACCGACCAGAGAAATTCACAGAACAACCGAGTTGTCGCGGTTGGCTCTTCAGGTGAGATAATTCTCTCTTCGATTAACTTTGCGACGTTGGCACGAATTGCATCCGAGGTTTCTTGCAATAGAAGAATGCTCAGCAGTTCCTCGAGGCCCGGCAAACATTGGAAGGCCGCCCAAAAAGTTGGGTCGATAGCGACACTCTTGAGAATTGCCGTGAACGTGGACGCGACGAGGGAGACGAAGGCATCAGAACGCCGCTCAGTGACAGCCGACTTCAAAATGTCGACGAGACGGTCAGCCGGTGCTACAACGACAGTCTTTGGTTTGACCGCGGATCCCAAGACAACAGGTTCTCTGAATGTCAGCGTGTAAGCATTCATCAAGCTGAACGTCAGGCGGCTTTTCAGCATCTCTGATGCACAGCTTTCAATGAGCTCGGGATCGGAGATGGCTGAAACGACCAATCTTCGCACCCTTACTAGAGCCTCGAGATATGCGTCCACTGCAGCATCGTCCCTGGTGGCTGGCGTAGATGAGGCCTCCTTCAGCCGGCGACCAGCAGAATCCATGTATTCTCTCATGGCATACAGGGCATAGAGACATTTGAACGGCTGTCCCAGCGGGAAAATCTGCCGGTATGATGTGTCGGGAGAGTCAAAGGCCGCCAACATGTGCGCATCCGCGGGCAGCTTGATGAGAAAGGCATGGATCTATGGTAACGTCAGCATCAGAATCGCGATAGTTGGCGATGAACGTACCTCTCTGGCAAGACCTTCTTGGAGGCTCAGGTAATTCCATAACTGTTCGAAGTGACCCAGAATCTCAATCTCGAGGAGTGACGCGCCTGGTTTAATCCTAGTAGCCGCGGCCGTGCCGTTGTCTTCCCGCTTGACCAAAATCAATCCGTCGTGAATCTCGAGGTCCTCCAAAGAACGGCAGACTTCGCTCTCTTTGGGTGCGAAAGGATGGCCTCGGTAGTAGATCCTGTAGTTATCGAAGCCAGTGGCTTGCCTGATACTCGCTAACAGAGAAGCCGCCGTATTCTGACGACCAACTTCGAGGGGCATGATGTCGGTCTGCCTGTCGCCATCGAATGACTGATACTTGAGCCCAGCCGGTTCTCCCTCTGCCACGCCCGGCGAACCAGGAGTCAGGGCACGAAGGTCTGGTGCAGAGAAATGGGCCTTGGCTTGATGCGCCTTCAAGAAATGTCGAAGAACCGCAAGCGAGCGCGTAAATATGCGCTCTTGCTCCCTTGTTTGCTCCTCTGTTTCAACGACGGCCATCTGTTCGCCGTTTTCAACGTGACCACCATCATTGGTAGACTCCAAATGCTTCGCGGCATCTTCCATCTGCTTCAAACAGCGATTCACCAGTCCGAGATGGACTTGGCAAGCTCTGTGATGCGGGTATGCCAAAATAGACTTGCTGTCTATGTAAATATCGCTTACGAGCGTCTGAATCGCCGCTTCCACAAGTGCCAAGTTGTCTGCGTCGAGAATCATGCGCCATAGCTGCTGTACACCGCTTCGTGAGAGGCTCTCATCATCGTCCAGTATTATGTCGTTGATGTCGTTGACGCGAGGGAGAACGGCCTTTTTGACAAATTGCAGCGTACCGTCGCAGAAACAGTCCCGCGGTACAGTGGGCAGATACTCCGTGAAACACACCGAAAAGAACGGGTTGCCGAGTGGGTTGCTGAGCGGGTGCGGGTTATTGGAGATATTATTGACAATGTACCATCCGGCACTGCGGTCTTCTTGACAAGCGGCGCCGTGTGCAACAAGCATATCCCAAAGCCGTGGGCCAAGTTCCGAGGTGACGGTAGTGGGCTCGTGCATCAGGATGACACTGATGAGATCCCTGCGCGGCCGATTGACCTGTTCGCATAGAACCATTGGGACACCCGCCCGTCTTGCCTGCTGGATCGCATGCTCAAACTCGTCAATGAGCAAGGACGTCAGGTTGTGTTCTGTGGCGAGCACTCGCACCTCGTTGACGACGGCAGGCTGCGAGGCCATCAGAAGGCACCAGAGTGTGCCAAGTGTCGTGGGCGTTTTGGCAGAAATATCTCGGATGCAATCGGCGTACAGCTCTCTTCTGATCTCAGGGTCAAGTCCCTCCCGAGCCAACTCCCTGAACCTATTTATGGCGAACTGATGCACTTCGGGGTACGCGATATGAGTGTCCGAGTTGTACACTGACGACTCTCGGAGAAGCCGAATGCAAAGGCTTAATGGGAGAAGACTTGGGCTCTCCCCACTGAGCTGAATTTTGGTGGCGAGACTATTCAGCGTTGAGGTGCAAAGGTTTCGTACTGCTACCGTGAAGGATTCAAGGGGCAGGCCATGCATCTTCTGACATAGGTACAGCAGTTCCTCCTTGGAGAAGAGATTGGTGATGGATCCTGTCATGCGTAGCAATGCCTCAGCAATTCGTGGATCTTGCGTCGTTGAGATCGTCTGCCAAAGCAGGTCCGTGTGTTCGTTGCGATAGAAGTGCGTCACCACCAGAAAGCCAACGATGTTGCCGCTCTCGTTGGTGATTTCGGGATGACAGGATGGACCCAGAATATAGTCGACCAACCTGGTTCGGAGAAGGAATTCCGCAATATGGGATAGAAACTTTGCGCATTCCACTTTGTCGTCCTCGTTATCGCTAAATCTCTTATAGAAGCTGATGAGGTCCGAACACATCACTGACGCGGACATAACGCGCAGCTGCATCTGGCTGGACGTGATGAGTTTTGCAAACATGCCAAGCCGCCATTCCATAGATATGGCATCGGCAGTAAATTTGGACGGCAGTTCGGGGAACATCTGTCGGTGCGCCTTGATTCGTTCCATTGCAAGTGGGTGATCGCCCAGCAGCGAAGTCTTGAGAAGTTCGGTCAACGCGAAGATGAGATCCCGAGCAGTTTCGACCGAGAGCTGCGTGACGTTCTTCTCCACAGCCGTCGAAAAGGCCTCTGAAAGCAAGTTGTAGAGAATATGACCATCCGCCAGTTTGGCTTTTGCGATTTCGATTTTCTCGGGTATTTGCCGGGCCCTTGTTACAGCCTTGTTGAGAATGAGTGCCGCAATGTTGCCAATTGGCATAAGCACATCCATCAAGTGCTGATATCTTGATGCGTTGCTCAGATGCAAACGAGTCAGTTTGTTCAGCGCTCTGAGACTGCCCGAGGTTGACTGGAACTGGTCCACCATATCGGATACCTCCCTGGTACGCGCCGGCCACTGCACATCGTCATCTGTCAGTTGTCCATTATAGGCCCGCGACTCTTCTCTTCTAGCGTAGTAGGTGACAGGTTGAATGTAGCGACCAAGTAGAAACTCCGGCTGCCGGGACTCAGCGTCCGGGGATACCTGATATGCCTGAGCAGTCAAGTAGTCAAACTCGACGAAGAGAGAGGCCAATCTGGAGTACGCAGAGAAGAAGTCACTCATGATGAGCTGGCTGTCTCGCGAGGTTGGTGGCCTGCGACGAATGTGAGCTGAGTTTCGTTATTAATTAGTGTTAACAATACCGACTTTTTGTTAGCGAGCACCCATGCAGTCTCTGGGAAAAGGTGCCAAAAGTTGCGATAGGCAACGTGAGATTGGTACGCGGCCTTGGGTCCAACGTTTTGGACGTAGTTGATGTAAGACATCATCCAGCCTCGCAAGGGTTCCACCGCGGATTCTTCTGCTTCTGTTCGAAAAGACGATTAGCTAGATAGATAACGCAGGGTGAGTACCACTTACGGTTTGACGGTAGAAAGTTCATCACTTTGCTGACCGTGTCTAGCAACGTCTCACCAGGCTCGTTGAACGGAAAGTCGGTGGTTGGATCGATAGCTGGATCAAGAGACGAAGGTGCCCTGACGATGCTGATGTCGTCGTCGTCGTACGGAGCATCCTGATCATCGTCTGGAATTGCTACGATTTCGACCTCTGGACTCTGCATGCTCGACGAACTGGACGGCGGGGTATCTGTAATTTCTATCGTAGCCGGAACCATGTCGACCTCGTCCAAGTTCTCAACACTGTTCCTGACTCCATCTAACGGATCGATCGGCCGGTTCGGTAACGACTGCGGAGTCGGTGAGACGGGGGAGGAGGACGAGTCGGGCTGGGCGGCATTGCGCAAGTTAATCGTAACGCGGCTCGAGGGGGGCTCTGTGGGAGGTTCTCGGGCAGTTGACTGCAGGTCCGGCGTTTGCGGGGTGGAGGGGCCGGTATCTATCTTCATGGCGGAGTCTTGGGGATTTAGATCGTCGGCGAGGATGTCTGCAGCTGGAGAACTGGAGTTGGCGAGGCCGGACCTGGTGCTTTCGACGGATCGGCTTCGGGAGCCCCCAGACAAGGAAGTGCGGCGTCGCTTTCTTGAGGCGTCGTCGCCCTCTGTGAAGGGGTTTGGTCTCGTTGAGCTGGGCTCAGAAGAGACCGCGCGTTCTGGAGCTTCCGATGATGCTGTCGGTTGGTCCATCTGGCTGGTGCAAAGAAGAGTTGCAGCGCGGGTCCTGGAGCTCCAGAGACGTCACTCGGGCGCGAGAGACGACTCGGTAGCAGCTGGCCAGAATTAGCATGTGGGTTTTTGACGGTTGATACCTGGCAAGGCTCGGAGCTTGATGGGACGGAGTTCGCGCAGTGTAAGGTCAGGATGGTGGGAAAGAGAACACGGAGAGGAACAAGGCGAGGCTGCGCGCGGCTTGGTGCCTCAGAAAGCGAAGAGGTACACGGGACGGAAAATAAATAAAAAAATGATTGGGGACCAGACGCTAGGATGTCGTGGTGACGATAGCTGAGGTGCAGGCTGAGGTCCAACTAACCAAGCAAGTTGTGTTGAAGGTGGGCTTTTTCGGGGAGGTGCAGGGGTTGCACGTCGTCCTTTTTTTTTGGCCCGCAGCAGTGCTTCAGACGCGGCGCGGGTGTGAATGAATCCACTAGAGCTGGGAGCTTTGGAGGGGGAGGGGGAATGATGCTCAAGCGTTTGGAGACGCCGATGGAGAAGGATGAGGTAATGAGGGACGGGCAAACCGTCAGGCAAGCACGCAAGGTGGGAGACGGGAGGCAAGGTACCTTGCCTTGTGACGAAGTAGGTGGTTTGTGCTTACCTTGGTGGATGGTGCCTGGTGAGGGCAGGTATCCGTGAGAAACCTACGGGCTTCCCTCGAGGTAGGTAGCTTCTCTTATCAGCGCGTGGTAGGATAAGAGACGGGAGTGAGCTAGCCTTACATGTGGGGGGAAAAGAGGCAAGGTGATGATTTCTGGTGGTCGTCTTCAATAGAAATGCTCCATCTCGTTGCCGATGACAAGGCAGGAAACAAAATGAGTAAGGCCGGGTGAGGTAACGAGGTGTGATTGAGGTAATAAGGCAGGCAGATTAGAAGGCGAGGAACCTTTTGGGATGTGCAGCTTGTCCGGGGCAGCTTCTTTTGGCGCGTCGTTGATGCGAGAAGGTTTTGGCGGAGAGACGGCGGGCGGTGGGTGGTGGGAGGTGCGGGGTGACGGTGCAATGTGGCTCAGAAGCACAGTCCGAGAGGCAGTCGCAGCGGTGCGTTGAGGTGGGGAACGCGTAGCTGCCTGTCCAGACCTCTGCAGCTAGGTACCTTAGCAACACTACTACAGGTTCCTGCAGGGAACGAAAAACGACGGGAAAGACTTCGATATTCAGACGAGAGAGTGTCTAAAACCCTGTTACATCTGTCTTGTTTTCTCCAGTCGAATTCTTTCTTGACGAGAGTGCTCTTACCTGCGCTTAGCGATGGGATAAATGCTGGTTGGCTGGAATTGGGAATGAGACAAGCCACCCTCCAAATGATACCGCCACGGCTGGATGACACACCTTACTTCAACTAGCAGCAGGAGCAGCAGCAGGATGAATGCGATGAAAACACAGCGCAAAGAAACAGGTGTTTGTTTCGCCGCTGTGCCTTTGAGGAAAATTTTCTACCCAAAAAGGCGAATCTCTTGTGATGGGGGCCGCCCTTTTTTACCGCCAAATGAAGCGCCTGATGATTGTCTTGCGTCAGGTTTTGAATCATGGAAGGCTTCCAGGTGTAGCCAGGTGGCCGTTAGAGTTGGAAATTAAGGTACTTTATGACGTGCCTTGACTACGATATCGACCTTTTGATTCTTCAGGGACACGGAAAAGTAATTTAAGACAGTCTGCTGAGGCGGCCATTTCTGCCTTGGCTGCATTGGCTACGAGCGAGACGCTTTTTTTTCTTTCTTTTCACTCTCAATTTTCTGAAGTCTGCCTTTTGGTCCGGGCTGTAACAGCTCTGTTTCGGTCACAATTTGGGTCGACGAAGGCCAACCCGGCAGTAGAAAGCTTTTATCAGCATCGGAGATCACTTGGGAATGGACTCATGGAGAGCGTCTTATTTGATGAATCAGTGGGGCCCGGACGTGTCTTCTTTGCCTCAGAGATAAAGCGGTTGAGCGGTAGCCAACAACACCTACCTAGCTGCAAGCTGATCAGCGCTCACCGAAGCTCTGGCTGGACAAGATCATCAGGTCAGATGGACATGTCCTTCATCCGATATGATACGCGTCCCCTACCACCCAACTTTCAAAGCTTCTTCTACGAATGAAACCTCTACTTGAACATGAGGTGCCCGACGAATTTGGCTTCAATTTTTCGAAGCCACTCGACAACGCTATACAACGCCACAACGGTCCTCTTCCAAACTTTCCAGGTTTGCAAACTGTACGCCTGAAGAAAAAAACAAAGAACCCTGTTGTCTTTAACCACAAATGACTCAGAACTTGTCTTCCCACCAGATGCGCATCACTAACGGCGTCTTGTCAATCAATTCAAAGTACCTTATGGATACGAATACCTATCCGCACTCGCCTGACGTAAGGTATGGTAGCACTCGGCCTCTCGGCGACCCTTGCTCCATCCACCGGCCTGTTCCTCCCGCCGTCGTCCGTGCCACCCTCCGAGAGAGCTCATGCGGGGCCCGGTCGGAGCTGTGGCCCTTGTTCCCTGTAGCACCTAAACCCGCACTGCTTCCGAGTTGACGTCAATTGCCGTCTTGACAGCAGCTGTTAAAGACGTGATTTGCTCCAATCGCCAAGGTACGGATGCAAAGCATCAACTCTCGGTTTCTTGGCATAACTTCACGCTGTCACTTGTTTCCTCTAGAGGCTCAAGCTCTTCCCGTTCGTCTCCTTTCTGCCCTGGGACGAGACTGACTCTTGCTCCCGGCGCACTAGGATCTCGCTTATCGGCGTATCGGCCGCTAAGGCCAACTACCTTACTACCTTAGCCTCACGTCAACCGAATTTTTACTTTTATCTTTATTTATTTTTGTTCGAGTGACTGACTCCATCTCACGTTGCTGCCCACCTTGTATGTGAACTGGATTGACAACGCAGCACATCGTCATTTCTAGTGTTGCATTTGCAGCCAACGGAGATCGGCGGCAGGGTTATCGGGAGTTGACGTACAACGTTTGCGAGAAAGCATCGAGCAATAACCCACGGTTTTATTGCCGAATATTGGTTTGCTCAGGTACATGGAAACGAGCCCCTTCACATACTCCAAATTTCCACTCAAAGTCGCGGATCATATCGATTTCAAGTCATTACTCCGTCAAAGACAACAACCTTCAAATCCCGTCCAAGTACTTTGCGACCACACTTGAACCGTAAGCAGGAAGCATCTGTCGATATCCCTTTGACGGATACTTACCGATTCCGAAGAAAGAACATAAACGAATGGTCCCACCCTGAATCCCTTCTCAACTCTCACCGTACATCTCGCAAATTCCAAGGCCCCAGGCAGAACGGTCAGCATGTCGGCGTCTCTCAAGAAGAAGCTGGTTTACTCGGTCGATACCCCTTTCTCCTCGGCAGAATGGTATGGCAATTTCCCGTGCCTTCCGTAGCTACGTGCTGACAAGCCATCTGCAGGCCAGAAATCTCCTTTGAGGACCAGGAGGCAATCCTGGAGTTACTATGCAGGTACGTCTCTGTTCGTGGAAGCAGCACCCTCTCCTACTCTTTGTCCTCTCTCATCAAGCGTTTGCTAATTCTAGACAGCCTTCTGGCCCCAATCGGGCAACACCGCCAGAGACACGTGAAGCCATCCGAAGGCAAACGGGCAGCCAAGAGAAAGAGAAAGGAAGAGGGGGCAGATGCTGCGGCATCGGAAAAGGGGCAACGCCCGCCTCCGCCGGAGATCGCTTCATTCGTCGACGTCGGTCTTGCCAGCATCACCAGAAACCTCGAGAAGCGTGCCGCAGCGGAGGTGAGCGCGGAGCCGATTTCGAGTGAAACGGACGACGCCCAAACGGCCAGCCAAAACAGTCCATACGCTGTCATCTTCGTGGCCCGCTCGGGGCAATCCTCCGCGTTCAATTGTCAACTGCCGCAAATGGTCGCCGTCGCCTCGAAGGCCACGCCATCCGCATCGCCGACGAGGCTTGTAGGGTATTCGAAGCCTTGCAGCGACAGACTCAGCGCTTGCCTTGGAATTCCCAGGGTCTCGTCCGTCGGCATTCGCGTACAAGCTCCCATGTCCAAGGCGCTGATTGACTTTGTCCAGCAGCATGTCCCGCCCGTGAGGATAGCATGGCTTGATGAGGCTCGCAATGCCAACTATATCCCGACAAAACTCAAGATAGAGGAGAAGATGGTTCCCGCGAAGAAGGCGGGCAAGGCATGAAAAGTCGACGTCATGAGCTTGCAAAATTTGCATTTAAAGGACTTGAAGGGGGAAGGATAAGGGAAGGCAAGACAAAATAAGAACTCGACTTCTGTGACCATCATCCGAGCTGAGGGCTTGAGCAGTTAGGTTGAGCGCTGATTTCAGCTGGTGAGGCAGACCTTCAACCATAGGTACTGGTATTTATTATCGGCTACGTTTCACTGACACGGATGGTGATGGTCCTGGAAGTGAACCTAGGCCAATATGAAGCGCTTTCCACTGAGGGAAGAAGAATGTCTGCCAGTGGCATCTGAGACAGGAAGACAGGATGCCCCGAAATAAAGAGACGTTTATTCCCAACGACTTCACTGATGCTATCTTCGCTTTTATCGTCGGTCCACTAATTTCGATATTGCTGATGCCACCATTCGTATGGTGCTTTCATGAGAACAGTTTTTTTCCATCTGGGTACCTATTTGGAGCAGATCACGTCTGATTTTGAAGAATAGCGAGCTCCCCAGGCAGGTAAGGCAGCACCCACGAGGTTCCGATATTTATTCCACCGTTTGATAACCAATCTAGCTCTTCCAGGACAATCAGTTCTTTGATGACATCTGCAGTATGCCTCTGCTATCTATAAGCAGGTGCAGCCTTGTGCCTTCCCTCTTTGCCAGGCTGCAATCCTCGGGTCGTCGTGGTCATGCTTCAACCTGTCTCAACCCGGCTTGAACCTTCCTCACCTTCCTCACGATGACCAAGACACGGCTTTATTACCTTACTTGCCAGCCCCAGTCCCTCTCTCAACCCTTTATCTTTTTCAAATCTCCATCTCGGCCACCTCGCCGTCAGATTTTCTGGTCGCCCTGGTTACAACAGAAGTCCATCATCCCCAAGCAACGAGGCCAGCCACTACCCTACCTTACTTCCCATCAAACTACCACGCCAAAAGGATTTCAAGCCCTACCACTGCCGCATCACAAGGACAGGAAGATCTACTTTTGTGCTCCTTCCTGAAGTGCCTGACAGCCAGACCTCATTTATTGAGGCGACTTCTTCTCCCTTCGACCACCTTCCTACGGTCACCTTCCTCTTGATTTCCCTCACCTCGCTACCACTTCCCCTTCTACTTCTTCCAAACAACCCTCTCTCGCCTACAATTCTTTCCAAAACATCAACAAACGGTGCCTTTCCTCTCAAGGGGCCATTCCCACCGAATCTTGGTTTTTATCTCCTTCCTGGTACGGAAGCAGCAATCTTGGTAAGTAAATTTGGACAGACTGCTCCTTTCACCTGCCTTCTCCCAAGGTCTGGACTTGTTTGCCCCTTCCCTTCCTTCCTATCTTGCTTGTCTCGAAGGAATGCCCCCAGAGTATCATGCCGGGCATGTGGCATCATTTTCACAACTTCCACATCAGCAGTTTGACCTCTCTATCACCATCAAATATGTAGACTCAGAGAGCCATCTACTGTTTTCCCGAAAACTAACATCTGTAGATCTTCAAGATGCCATCTCCTACTCCCGAACAGATGGCGTTCGCCAAGCAGCTTCAGCAGGAGTTCAGAGGCCGAGGCAGCAGTCGAGGTGGAAGCAGTCTTCGGGGAAGGGGCAACGGGCCAATTACTGCCGGTCCTCGTTCTGAGCGTCAGGCATACCCTCCCGTCAGATCCAATGCCATGGGTGAGTCTACAACGTCAGTTAGTTATGTATTTGTTGTCACTAACGGGTGAATAGTCCGGCCAATGCCTGCAGCAAATCATGCGGGCTTCCAGAGACCGATGCCCCCGGCTGCAGATGTACAGAGAGCTCCAATCAAGATCAATAAGGATCTTTCTGACTGGGTCGATGGCGGGAAGCCTTCCAAGCCGGTCAACCCCGAGCCTTCTGCTTCTGCTCCTGCCGTCAGTCAGCCTGCGGTCGACTCCCAGCCCCCCCATCTTGCTCGCAAGGCAGCAGTCGTTGCTCAGGCCCCGGCTACTACACACACTGTCAACAGCACGAAGGAAACCGTTGCCCCGAAGACGTCTCATTCTATCGTCGCCGGGGCCCCCGAGCCCTCTGCCGCTTATCATCAACCTGAGGCTCCTGTCAAGCAGAAACCAGATGGTCAAGACAAATCTGAGGCGTATTCTACCCACAATGGCCTTCATCAGAGCATCTGGGCTGGCCAAGGACAGGCCCCTGAGGCCGAGACCGTGAAGGCTGCGACCAACAAAACCGACACCAACGAGGTCCATCTCTTCCAAGTTACAACTGAGAATCACGCAACCAAGGACGCGGTTTCGATCGACCGCGCCATTACTGCTACTCCAACTGACAAGATCCAGAAGAATGATTCCCTGGCTGGACAGGCCTCTCGCTTGCTTGCGGACACGGCACCCACCAGCAGCAACAACGCATCCGGCAGTGCTACTTCCACTATCTCTGCATCGGCTCACAACGAACCTGGATTCAGCCTCGCTGATTGGGCCCTCCAGATCCTGAGAGCGGGTAAGGTGTTGCCCCCTAAGGAGCAAACCGCTGCTCAATTGAGCAAAATAAAGCAGCCTGAGAAAGAGACTGCTCCTCACTCGAGCAAGGGTATTCAGCCTGAGAAGGCGGCTGCTGCTCACTGGAGCAACGGTGAGCGGGCCGATTCCGAATCTCCCACCACCATGGACATGCATACCAAGATCTGCAACTGCCCCAAGCGAATTCGCCCTCTCGCTGGCCTGAGCGCCTCCCAGTTCAACAACGACGCCGACGGTGACCGTCAGATTGCCGGCTTGTCCGAGACTGCGAGACGCAAGTTTGCGGTCAACGTCATTAAGTTCGATCATCCCTTAGAGGACTGCCCTATCCTGCTGAAAGCCCAGGCAGAGTTCCCTCTCAGCTTCGGAGCGATTCCCGCCACTCTCGATGAGCAGGAGGATAATCTTGATGTCATCCCCTACCAAGCCAACGAGGCTGAGGCGCCTGGCAAGGCGCAGAAGGTATCAGGTCTTGGTCGTGGATTGAATGCGTCAATCTGGGCATAAATTGGTTCATGGCCTCTGCCTGATTCGATCATCTCCCTCGTCAACACGAACACTCGGCTTGGGGTCTGTCGGATGACTCTTCTATTGTGTCAGTATATACACGCCTTCAACACTCACTTCACCAGTTGAAGCCCGAAACCCGATGTCACGGAGATCAACGTTCAGATAATGACGATATTATTGGTTCTGCTCTCGCAAAGCTCTCGCAAAGCCTGTCGCTTCGAGAATCTGGAACAAGACCGCACACATTGCATACGCGCAAGGATTGAAGGTTCGGAGAAGGACATACGGGCTACGGCCGTCACTTTTGCTCAAGGATGATAAAAAAGCTCAGCACTGAGGTAGTAAGATAGTCAATCAAGGATTTCATAGAACACGTTTGCTGATGTGACAGTGATGCTCTGCTTGATATGTGGTACATAGGCCCCAACGAGCAACGCGATCGAGGTAAAGCGCGAATCAAGGAAAGGAACTGCTCACAACGTACGTCCCCTCTAACGCCAGGTGACGAAGAAAATCATTAAGCCTGGTTTTGTATTCCCCAACTCCTCTATTCCATGAATTATGCGTTACCAATGCTCTTTTCTAGTATCTTGACACCCTCCCTGACCTTTGGCGAGAAATGCCTCCTCAGCAACTCCCCCTCCCACACTGTCGTCGCAAACGGATTACTTCCCTCCACGCTGTCACTCAACGCGTTGTAGTTGCCGTCGCCTTTCCTCTCCTCCGTCCGCCACAACGCGCTGATCTTCTTGCCGTGCGTGTGCGCCACGTCCTGCAGCAGCGCCAGCACCGCCTGCGTGGACTTGTCCGGCGTGTGCAGCGAGGCAGACATGAGCTGCTTCGAGAACGCGGCCAAGCGCAGCGGCGGGACGGAGCGGATCTGGTACGCGGGCAGGAGGACGGCCGTGAGACAGCGCAGCAGCAAAACGGTCGTGGTCTGCAGGTTGACGCGGTTGTCCTTGGTCGCGCCGGGGCGGATGTGTAGCGATTTGGACGTCAGCTCGAGGTCCGGGTTCAGAGAGAGGAGGGGCATGGAGGTAAAGAGGTGCGTCACGAAGTGTGAGAGGTCGAGGTGCAGCTCGGAGCGGGAATTGTGCGCGTCTTGGCCTGCCAGGAGGGCGAAGGCGGTCACCGTGCAGAGGAGGGCCTCGCGGGTCGTGTTGCGTGCAGATTCGTCTTCGTCGTCGTCCTCCTCCCCTTCTGCCTCGGCGTCGGGCTCTAGGTCACCCTCGGCATCTTCTTGAGCGTGACGGATGAGATCCTTCAGGGCCTCGAGGAGGTCGCCGAAGAAGTCCTGGTTGATCAGGTGCGCGTACTTGGCCAGACCCTCCAGCACGGCGCCCATCAGGTGCGGGACGCGCAGCTTGAGAACGCGGAAGTACGTCACGAAGACGAGCTTCAGCGTCTCGGACTGCATGCGGTCGCGCTCCTCGTGGCTCACCAGCGCGTCGGCCTGCTGCATGTCCTTCTCGATCGCCTTCTGCTCCTTGATCTGCTTGCGCTGCTTCTTGGTGCGGAACTCCTTCTTGAAGGCCTTCCTCGGGGGCGGCGCGCCCGGGTCCTTCTCGTGGTCCACGCGGTCCTGGGAACCCTTTCCGGCGAATTCGTCCAGTAGGCGCAGGTGGAGGAAGAGGTTGAGGACGGTCTCGTCGACGAAGAAGTCGCGGGCCTTCATCATCTTGGCCAGCAGCGCGACGGCCTCCATGGCGGGGCGGCCCTCCTCGTCCTCCTTGAAGAGTGTCTCGAGAGACTTGCGGCACTTGACGAAGTCGGCGTCAACCTTGCGCTTCGAGAGCTTGCTGACGAGAATCTTGAGCAGGTCGTTGCGGAAGTTGAAGTGCGGTACCGCGTTGACGAGCGTGCACGCGCACGCGATGGCCACGCTCGAAATGCTCTGCCCCGTCTTGCGCGTCGCGGGTATGTCGGCCTTTGCCCACTTGGCCAGCTCCTTGATGTAGACTTGGTACCCGGACACGAGCGCCTGCTCGAAGGCGCGCAGCTTGCGGACCTCCTTGGACAACTTCTCAACGGGGGCGTCTTCGGCGACGGGGCGGATGCGGTAGCCCGGGATAACGTCCTTGTACACGGCGAGCTGGGTGGCCAGGGCGATCTTCTGGATGGTCTGAATGCGCGACTGGCCGATCTTGGCGAGAGCCTTGAAGGCGCCCACATTCTCCTCGGGGTCCTCGTTCAGCGCCGTCGCGATCTTGGCGAGCTCTTCCTTTGCCTGGATAATTTGCACGTGCTCCGGCAGATCGGATTCCTCCTCTTCCTTTCTTCGACTTTGGCGCATCTTCTCAGCTTCAGCCTCGGCCTCGGCGATGGCCTCCTCGTCCTCCTTGCCCTCGAGCCAGTCGCCGTCGCTTTCCACAGAGGCTGCATCGTCGTTGTCGGGCTCGAGGGAGCGGTACTGCTCGAGGCGGCCGTCGGCGGTCTTGATGGGTAGCCTGTTGCTGTCCTTCTTGTCCTTCTTGCTGCCCTTGCGTTTACGGTTCTCGTAGTCCTGCTCCAGGTCCCAGCCGGCGGCGCTCTTGAAGAATTGCTTCTGGATCTTCTTGGAGGAGCGGGACTTGGGTTCTTCGTCTTCGGGGGGCGGCGTAAGCCTGCGGCGCTTGGGGGCTCTGACGGACGACATGTTTGCGGTGGTTGTCGTGGGTATGCGGGTGTTGTGAGACAGCCGTCGGTGTGGAGGAACTCGGGCTTGGTCGAGATTTCTCGATGCTGGAGTGGATTGAACGGGACCCTGGAAGAGGGACGTCGAGAACTTTTTAGTGGAGTCCGAGGCAATTGAGCCAATCACGACCCCAGACCGAGGCCTGACCGCCCGAAATTTTTTGGGTTTCTGCCGCTCCTCCAACCTTTGGCATCGCGATACATCCCACCCTCTCAGCACGGATCCCAGCACCTTCGAAAGACTCTTCGTCAGTCTTCACAAACCTCGATCCGGGAGCCGACGAGACGAAAACTATCGCCCAAGATGCGTCCCCTTACGGAAACAGAGACCCAGACCCTCTTCAACAAGCTGGCCAGCTACATGGGCAGCTCGCTGAAGAACCTCATCGCCCCGCTCGACAACTCCCCCGACGCCGACCGCTATGTCTTCCGCATGATCAAGGACCGCGTCTACTACGTGCGCCTGTCCGTCGCCAACCTCGCGACGAGCATCGCCCGCGACAAGCTTCTCAGCATCGGTATCTGCCTTGGTATGTCGCATGCGCATCACCCTATCAACCTTCCAATGCTAATCGATCGGTTCTGCAGGCAAGTTCACCAAGACGGGCAAGTTCCGCCTGCACGTTACGGCCCTCCCTATCCTCAGCGAGCACGCGAGATACAAGATTTGGGTCAAGGTGCGTTCCGAACGACTCCCTCCAACGTGTGTCAACAAGGCGCAATGCTAACCACGACCTCCCCGACAGCCCAACGGAGAAATGCCCTTCCTCTACGGCGGCAACATCGTAAAGGCCCACGTCGGCCGCTGGTCCGACGACTGCCCCGAGCACCAGGGTGTCATCGTCTTCTCCATGGACGACAAGCCCCTCGGCTTCGGCGTCACCGCCCGCTCCACGGCTGAGGCGCGCCGTCTGGACCCCACTGGTGTCGTGTGCTTCAGGCAATCGGACTGCGGCGAGTACCTGCGTGACGAAGATACCCTCTTTGCGACCGGTTAAAGTGGTCTGAATGATGGTGCGTGGCTTGATCAGACAGGTCGAAATACCCGCGGAAGACTTGTGTGTGTATAACGGGACGGCGTTTCTTGGCTTATAAAAAAAGAAGAGTAGAAGACCGGGAGGGGCATCTTGACGGCGTTTTTGTTGTTCATCAACAGTCTCATATTTTAATTTTCTTCTCTCGTCATAACAGCAAAAAGTCTAATATCGACACCCTCTCATGCTGAAATATGCCGGATTGCTCCTTGGAACCATGTGGATATTCGCCCTTTTCCTCTTTGCCTCATCATGCATGCCCATATTCCGTAGCCCAACGTCAAAACGCACAAAACAAAGCTTCATGCTCCCGTCTTCTGTTCGTACCCCGCGACCCCCGCGATCACCTCCTCCACAACCTGCTCCCGAACCTGCTCCTTCACCTTTTCCAGGCTCGGCGTCTGCGGCCGGCTCTCCCGTCCCCAGATGCGGATGTGCTGCCTCTCGGCCACGTACTCGCTATCGGCGTACCCCAACAGCCCGTGGATCTCGGAGCTCTGGTGGCCGCTGATGCGCATCACCTCCGGCGCGGCGTAGTTGACCAGCGCGCGGCCGACCTCGAGCGGCGTGCCGCCCCACGCCTTGCCGCCGTTGCTCACGTCATGAAGCCTGTCCACGACGACGAGTCTCACAGCCTCGTGCTGGGCGAAGTTACCTTCGACGTCGACGACGCCGGCGGGCAGCAGGCCCGCCTTCCTCAGGAGGGCGCTGTGGGCGCCGGAGTCGATGTAGATGGTGCCGTGGGGTTTGAGGCCGTGGAGCATCCAGAAGTGGCGATCGCCGATGGGGTCCGGGGAGGGGAGGAAGCGAGTATGCAGCGGAGGTCTCTCGGCAGACTGGTCGAGACGCAGAGAGGCGGTGGATTGGGAAAGGGGGTCGTCGGTGTGGTCGTGGTCGTGCTCACCTGCACCGTCGACGGCGTCGAGACGCGGGGAGGACTTTTGTTGGGCTTGGATGTAGCGGACTATCTTTACGATGTTGCCCGGGTTGGAGGAGCGGGTGATGACGGTGGTCACGCCGGCGGAGGTTGCAAGGCGGGCGGCGACGATCTTGGTCATCATGCCGCCGGTGCCTAGGGCTGATCCTGCTGTTGAGACTGTATTTGTGTGAGTTGGTAGGACGCGAGGCAGGGGAGGGGATATGGTCTACCATCGGCCTGGATGCTGGAGATGTCTTCGACGACCTCAATAGCCTGGGCGTCGGGGTTCGTCCTGGGGTTCTTGTCGTAAAGACAGTCGACATCTGTCATGAGGAAGAGCATGTCCGCGTGGACCATGCCGGCCGCGATGGCGGAGAGGGTGTCATTGTCGCCGAACTTGATTTCCGACACGGCGAGGGTGTCGTTTTCGTTGACGATGGGAATGACGCCTAGGTCCAGCAGCTCGTTGAATGTGTTTTGAGCGTTGAGGTACCGTGTTCGCTGGGACACCATGTCAGACCTTGCTCGCATCGTGGATTGCAGGGGACGACAGTCTACTTACATCTGCGATGTCGCTGCGAGTGAGCAGGATCTGGGCGACGGGTTGCCTGAAGTGACCAAACAGGTCGTCCCAGAGACTGATGAGTCTGCACTGTCCGATGGCTGCCAAGGCCTGTCACACGGGTTTCGTCAGTTCAAAACGAGCTCTTCGCTGCCGTTTGGAGGTTTCCTGGATGAGGCGGACCTGCAGCGTTGACAGGTGCTTCGGGCGTTTCTCCATCTCCATACGGAGGAGACCGACGCCGATGGCGCCGGACGAGACGATGACCACTCTATGACCATCCTTCCTCAACTTGACTGCCGTCTCGACGATGAGACTCAGGATGGACAGCAAGGGCTGGTGTGTTGTCTCATCGACGATGGAGCTGGTGCCTGTGAGATGAGTTAGATCACTGTGAGTGACAGTTGTGAGGGGCAGGGGACTCACCCAACTTGAGCACCACCGTCAAGGGTTTCGGGCCCTCACGGTGCTTCATATCTGCGGATGAGGGTATTCAGAGTTAGTCACACGCGCTGTTTTCAACTTTTCACCCTTCAGACAAAAAGCCAAGGCAGGGAACATGAAATGCAATCAGACGAACATGAGCCCAAGAACCAAATCGGCATTGGGCAACATTACGTATTTAAAAAAATTACTGGATCCTCTTACAAGTTGGACCACTCTCTTCCGCCATTGCCAATGCTAAAGTAAAACCAAGCGACGTCGATTATTGTGGGACGGAAGGGGGGCTGTTGAACAACACAAATGATCAATCAAGGCCCCTGGTCTGGTTGCGCCCTTCGTCGTTCGTTGCTGTCGGGGTTGGTTTCTTGCTTTGGGAACTGACTCTGACTCTGGCTGCATGGGTATGGACGGTGAAAAAACCCTTGCCCGATGTCGGGATCGACCGGCGTTATGGACGGGAGCACGGGGGTGGTTCGGTAGGTGGCTCGGCAACCTATGAGAAGGCCCGTAATGCCGCTAAAAATCCGGGGCTAGCGGCATCTTCAGCGATATCCCGCCTTTTTTTTGCATCCTTGTGTTGGCCCAAGAAATGATCTCATGCATCCATCCGATGCATGTTTGGGCTTGTTGACCGCTTGACTCTTCATCGAGTAAGATGCAATGTCTCTTGAAAAAGGCGCGCCTTATTGATTTGGGGTTATGTACGTAGATCACGGATATCAGGAATGGAACGGTGGAACGTGGGGGAGCCGATACCTCTTGGAGGTTGCGAGGCGGGAGTAGATTTATAGTCAAACCGGAATCCAGGCAAAGGCATTCCAGGGTCCTTCTCGAAGCCATTCATAAGTTACCAAATCGGTGAAAGAACATGGCTTGTTTCTTGATTTATGGGTGTTTATTTCAGAAACCACCGACAATGCTATTGTGACTGAACTCCAACTGGAATGTCTGCTCATGTGCCTCCCGAATGAAATGACTTTGAGTCCGAAGGCCAGGACAATCGATTCATCAAGTTGTTTTCCGTAACTTTTGAAACCTTGCTCTCTTGGCTTCGTCGTTGCCGAAGTCGCTGTCGTCTCTGCTTTCACTGTTGTCGTTAGGATCCCTGACTTTACAGCTGCCAATCCCCCTCCATCCCTTTTTTGTTATTGATATCTTCCCATTCGCCCTAAGCATTATTAATATTCTGGAATTCTGCTAACGAAAATGTCAAGCCAAATGGCATTTCTAACGTTACTCCCTGTCCTTAGTATTCAAATTCTTCCTAGCCCGATGTCCAATTCCTTCTGTAATGCCAGTCGTTGGATTGGTCCACTAATTTAGACGCTATCGCCAGTGCTTGACGCACCCGGCCAGCGCATGCGTCGTTATCGATAACGGCCAAAATTTCCGTCCCGACCTCCAATCAACACCTCTCATCCATACCTCACCCATCACCACCATCAACGAACGACTTCAAACAGCAAAGCCCTGCGCGTCCACCTCCGTCCGTCCACGAGATACCCCAGAACCGAACAGGACGGACGATCTCCAACCTCACACAATGGCTTCCGAAGCCCCCTCACAAACCCCAGCGCCCCCCGCGCCAGCTCCCGCACCCGCATCCGCGCCGCAGCAACAATCCCCCCCTCGCGAGCTCCGCAACGATCCCGCCCGCACCGGCTTCGACCCGCAGACCAAGTGGTGGATGAACTACTTCAACATCCTGACGGGGCGCATGACGCCCGAGGGCCAGTTCCACTACCGCGAGCACCGCTACCGCGTCCACGAGGAGCGCGACTGCAAGAAGTGCGAGGAGAGCCGCGACTGGCTCCTCGCCTTCTCCCCGACCGTGCGCTTCCTCAACGGCAAGATCGCCGACCTCAACGGCCAGCTCGACAGCTCCAACATCCTCTGCCGCCGCTGCCCGGCCCGCCTCACCGAGGACGGCGAGGTCCACCGCCAGTCCGGCGGCTTCAGCCCCGCCCACGGCATCCTCATCTGCGCCAACGAGGTCAGGGACCGCAAGCACCTCGAGGACACCCTCTCGCACGAGATGGTCCACGCGTGGGACCACCTGAGGTGGAACGTGGATTGGATGGGCGATTTGGACTTGAAGCACGCGGCGTGTACGGAGGTGAGTATCCTCGCAGGGAGGAAGTGCTTGGGGAGACAGAGATGCTGACTTGCATGATAGATCCGCGCTTCAGCGCTAAGTGGCGAATGCAGGTGGACGAGAGAGGCGTTTACGAGAGGGAACTGGAGTCTGTCGCAGCAGTTCCAGGACTGCGTACGCAAGCGCGCCATACAATCAGTTCTCAACCGCCCCAGGTGCAAGGACGATGTGCAGGCGACCAAGGTGGTGAACCAGGTCTGGGAATCGTGCTTCAACGACACCAGGCCCTTCGACGAGGTCTACAGGTGATGGACGAGATGACGGCTCGGGATAGAGCGTGTGTACAATACCCCCAACTTATGTAATTTCTCCCCACGTGAAGCACCACAAATGAACAGCAGATGTTTAGATGAATGACTATTTTGGTTTCGGTTCGTTGGCTACTCAAAAGGATGACATGAAGAATCCCAACTCCCATACATGCAATGGAAACAAACCCCAAACCCCATCAAGCCGTAGATCAGAGCCCGCCTAATCCCGCATTAAAAAAGAATGAACGCCGCTAATCCTACAAGGACCGTTATGCCTTGGCTGGTATGCATGAATCATGAAGGTCGTTAATTAATAGCTCTTCTCGCGGTTGGAGGCTCTCTCGCCCTTTACACAGTGCTTGACGATCCACGGGTGGGTTTGGACCTGCTCCAAGGGTATTCTCTTCTCGGGGTCGAGGACAAGCAGCTAGGACAAATGTTAGTAATGGTCTGTGGTAGGGCTGAGTGGAATGTTGCTTACCTTCTTAATCAGGTCCTTGGCCTCGGGACTGACGAATGACGGCACAGTCATGTCTGCCCGAGCGATTCTCCTCTGCGTCATGACGGGCGTGTCCTCAAAAGGCGCCTCACCAACGAGGAACTCGTACGTCAAGACACCTAAACTCCAGAGATCGACCTTCTCGTTGTAGTAGTTGTCTGAGCTGCCGGGCTTGATCATCTCAGGCGGCAGGTAGTCAAGGGTTCCGCACATGGTGTTGCGGCGGTTGTTGGGGGCGTGGACACTCCAGCCGAAATCCGAAATCTTGATCTCTCCATGGATGCCCATGAGAATGTTCTCAGGCTTGATGTCGCGGTGGATGACGTGCTTGCGGTGGAGATACCTCAGCGCCGATGCCATTTGGGCGATGTACTGCGCCGACTTCCACTCGGGGAAGCGGCTCTCCTTGCGGAGGTGCTTGTACAGCTCACCCTTGCCGGCGAACTCGAGGATCAGGAAGACACGCTTGCTGTCGTGGAAGTGACCGTACAGCTGGAGGATATTGGGATGGCGCAGGTTGCTCTGGATCTCGATCTCGCGGCGGACCTGTTTCTCGACGCGACCCTGTTGCAGCTCGTTCTTGTGCAGGACCTTGAGGGCGCAGATGAAGCCACTCGTGCGCTCGCGGGCAAGGTAGACCCGACCGAACTTTCCTTTACCCAGAGGGCGGCCAATCTCGAACATTCCCAGGTGGAAGACTTTCGGCGGTGAGGGCTCGACAACGACGGAGACACCCGACTTGCGTTCGATTTCGACTAGTTCATCGGAAGCTCTGGAAGAGCTGGAGGGTAAAGGCTTTCTCGTTGGTGATGCAGGGTTCTTGGCCTCGCGTTGCGCCGATTGCGATGGCAGCTTCACCGAGGCGACAGCATTGGTGCTCTGAGATTGAAGTGCTACCTTGATGAGGTTCGGTCTGCTGGAGCTATGTGCCAGCTGTGACGTCTTGACCATAGTCTGGATCCCAAGTAAGCCGAGTTGTCAGACACAGCAGCAGTTGCGACAGCGACGGTACGAACCTGGGTCTTGGAGTAGAGCTTGGAGCCATCGCCGGGGTCGTTCTCGTCATTCACAGACATGCGCTCAAAACGCGACTCCAACGTTCGAGTGGCCATTATGCTGTGCGATGAGAGGATGCCGAAAGATGAATGTTCCCTGTTGGTTAGAAAGAGTGCCTGGATGTTTGGAAAGAAACTGGAGTGGCCAGATGGGTTATTAAGAAAAGGTTCGGTAACGATGTGAGCCGCCTAAACAATGGGGGTGGGAATCGTTGCCTGGGTAACAACACCAGGGCAGTAGCAACCCGCCCCACTCCTTCAGCCCCCCACTTCCCCTACTCCTTGGACATCGACAATGGACGGGCGCTTGTGCTGTCACCACTCTGACGTGAGCTTGTCTATCGCTGGAAGCTGATCGGACTTTAGGCAACGTTCGTCTCACTTGGTTTCTTTGCAGGCATTGTTTCACGATTGCTTGCGAAGTTGGAAAGTCTGTGGGGTCCCAAATCTACATTGTAACGATTGTACGGAGTAAAGTTCTTGTTTTGACAAGGACGGATGCGGCCTAACTGTTCTTGTTTCCTTGTAGTTTTCCTCACCGCTCGGTCTTCTTATGTCGCTACTGCAGTTGTCTGCCTTCGTTACCGATGTATTCGCTCATTCGCTATTCTCTCCGGGTGTCCCAAGCTCTCTCGCCGCCACCTCGGTCTCCATCATCGAATCCTCCATGTCCAATGTTGATGACTCGTCAGTTAGGTCAGGCTCAGAAACTGCCGTGGATGCCTCGTTATCAGCCCGGTGACGTTGCTCAATATTCCGCAGTTCCTCTGCCAGCCAAAACTCTGGGAGAGTCTTTGGAGCTCTGACTTGTCTGTCAATCACGGCCATTGTACGTGACGACTCGTTGTAGTCAGAATATATGCCAAAAGGAAGCAGTTCGCCAGCAGCGCTGTAAATCTCCACGGATTCCGCTAAGTCTCTTTGCATGATCGCGTTGCTCGCGTCGCGAATCTTGTCGGATATTACTTCAAGATCTGACGATTGCGGGTCATAGTAAAGACCTCTTCGCAGGCCAGAGTATTCATCGATGATGCCGAGTTGGTACGTCCATGCGTTCTCGACCATCGTCCAGATGGCATATCTGCAGGTGTCATACGCGGTTTCGAGGGTGCTTTTATCCAAGAGGTGGAGATCGGCGAGAAACAAGTCCGCCGCGGCGTTGCCCTACATCGCGAAGGGGACATTCGGAAGGTACATCTGCCACGCAACTCGCCATAGCAGATAGCAGCGCCATGCCTCGCTTAGGCCGTATTTCGAGGCCTCCTCGTCAAGACTTCTCACATCTTCCGGCTTGAGTTGTGGTCTCCCGCAGGAAGACCAGTAAGCGTCGGTGACTGGATTTCCGGGTGCTGCCATAGGCGCATCCAATGGCTCGTTTTTCACGAGGGTTGGAAACTGCAATGGATCGTACGGCCCCGGGCCAAGCACTCTTCGCAATTGAATGAGCCAGTAGCAGGTAAGTCCGCATCTCTCTGCCTCAGATGCGTTTTGCACGTCGGAGACGCTGATGGGCTCGTTGTTGTGGATTTTCCAAGTGAGAGACCTCTCATGGCGGATAGCTGCGTCGAAAGCGATAGACGACATGATGATGAATGGGGGAGGTGTGGATGTCGATACTGATGCTGATGCTAGGGAGATTGGCGTAGGTCTAGAGAACGAATGATGTTGTGTTGATGTTTTCTAGGGAGCCAGCATACGTTAATTACGAGAGAAAGAATCAGAAGGCATCTGGGTGGTGTTCCTTGGTTGTGGCTCGCACACATAGCCATCGCACGTCGTCGTTGTTTCCCATGGCAGCCTCGTTCGATGTCTCTCCTGCCGTTAGCTTCTTGACTCTGGCTGATTTCTCTTTCTGCGGCTATCGATCTTACTTGCTTCGTCAGTGCCCCGATTGCTCTTGCTGTTATCGTCGATCTTGACATCCGTGGGTTGCTCCTGGGGACCAAGACACCAATGCCGAAGAGGATATGGCAATAGCAGTGAAGGAGATGTGACGACAATTTCCTCTCTTTTGGTACGTTTTCAGCCTACCTACCTGTGGAGTAGTGAAACCTGTGCTAGATACCATAGTGGAACCTCATCAACCACTCTCTATGCAGCCATCCTTCTTCTATCGTCTTCTATCGTGGGCTAGCAGCCGGTGCTTCAAGCAGCAGGTAATCAGACACATGACTAGAGCGACAACTATACATCACTCAAAGTTGCTGGATCGATTTCTTCAACTATCTCCTGCAGCAACGCTCATGATCTTCTCCCTTGATGTGCAGGCGACGAATGTATGCGTTCGCGACTCCGTTCATTAATCCACGGTCGAGGCCATATGGTGTACGACGGATGTCGGGAGGTGCACTTTCACAATCCACATCAGCATCCAGGAGTGAACCGTGTCAAGAGAGCACCGTTGACGACCATAATTAGACTGGCTGAAAATGCACATGTAGCGTACGTATAAAACTCCCGGCTCAACTGAAGAGATGGATCGTAGGTCCCCATTTGGGGTCGGCCCCCATTCAGCTTCTCATGGGCAAAGACTTTGGGCCAAAACTGCGTTTACCAGATCGTAAGCCTCTTCGCATAAGTGAAAAGACCAAGTGAACCTAATACCTAGAGGCAAGTAAGCCCTTTTCAACCACTTGGCACTTAGTTCTGGCTCATAGCAGATATTCTCACAGCCCTATTCACACGTCAAGGCATATCCTGCTACATCTGTCGACACGACGTAAATAAGTGACATTCACTTAAAGTATATGAAGTCCCGCTGAAAAATACCTGCATTGATTCGTTCAAGTCATCGAGGGAGTGGCCATGACCATCGATAGATTCGTTTGGAGAGTCCTGTAGTCCAGACATGGCCAACTTCAGATGCCTCCGTTTGTCACAATTGGGTCAGCGATGACCCAGGTACACGAACCATTCTCAATCTATTTTTCTATTTTCTACTTCAGCTAGCACCTTAACACACGATCTGCAAGCCCAGCCTTAGGATACTAATCATCAACTATCCTACACGGTAGTAATAAACCTTTGGCCACCGTTCGATTCCTCTAGATGCTGTTGTCATTTCAAATAGCGACAGATGTCCATTGTTGCGCGAAACCACATAAGAGTCAAGGATAAATCTGTGCGGGAGAAGGAAACAAGAACATTCAAACTATTAAAGAAAACACCAAAGATGAGTCCAAGGGGTCATTTCGACTTCGTGGATCAATACTGACGGTTTGGAATCTCCTCATGGAGCCTTCTGGTTGGGACTGAGAACTTATAAGACGGGTAACTCAAAGTCACAAATCGGGCAGCCATATAGGAAGAATCAAAACATGTCTTCCGATAGATCGGGAAAGGACATGCAGCCGGCTGGTATATATGCCTATCTGCTGAAAGAACCTCATCGACCGGTTTCTGAAAGGCAACCCAGCCCCTTTCTTGACCCAACAGTACAGATGAACGGGGCCAACTGCGTGGTCCCATGCAACATGTACGACAGAGCTTCGTCACATCAAACCTCCGAAGGAAGAGGGAGTTGGTTAGGTTGGATTGGGGAGGGGACAGCCATCTTTTCGGGACTCCGAGAACCCGTTCGGATGATCGAAGGGGCACATATCAGACTCGCGGCGTCAGACGACAGATTCCCGCCTCCCAGGGGGGTCAGCTGCAAAGTATCAAAGTCATCGAGACATAGCCCGCTTGCTTCGATCAGGCGGCCCTCGTTCTCGATGATCCGCCGTCGCTGATACTGTGTCTTCCTAACTCCCCAGAAGCACAAAGGCAACAGAGACTCGTCGGCATCAACGGGAAGAAGAGACTAAGACACGAGACGAATAGGCAGCCCTACAAGATTCGAATGGGGTACTAGATTGCTCCTGCATGTCTTCGTCCAGGACGGATATACCGACAATGTCGAGAGTTAGAGAGTTAATCAGTCTAAGCCTCGTTGTTTAATGTCCTAGGCATCAACAATCTGACGACCATCTTTCTAGACTTCAGCTACGCCCCCGTGCAGGAACTTCGTAACCACAACCTCGTGACGAACATCAAGCTCAAATGCTGTCTATTTGCCAGTCACTCTACTAACTTTCGTCAGCCCGGTAACCCCTCCACAAGCACCATTCCAACGTCCTCACAGTAAACTCGCGGATTGCGTAATACGAGCACAGCGTAAAACTCTTCACATATATCACCACCTAACCACCCAGCCTCACTCTTTCCTATACGGCTCGTAAATACACAACTTTGCACGCCATCCCTCCCACGAGCACTCCAAACAACCTCTACCGCGTAAGCTCGCGGAATAATAACAAGCTTAACTACCTTCTTTACCCGATCTACGGATATTCCTTCGCTGAAAGATCCAGAAAAGCCAACCGGAACTCCAAACACCCCCTCCTCGACCCCGCGCGGCTCGTCGACACCCCTCGCTCCCTGCACCCCGATCCGCGAGAAAAGACGACATCGGAAACGCTCCCTTCAGACGACGCGCTTCTGGAGATGGGTCGAGGAGACGCGGTGTGCCGAAAACGGGCCGACGACTTCAAAATCGTCCAAGCCGGTTGGCTACGGCGTATCTTACGATGGGATTCAAGAGCTTTTGAGATCATGAGAGCAGCGTACTCAGCTTTCGCGAAGCAAGAATACCATCATATGAAAGGAACCCTCCTCTCCCACGGAGCTCCCACATACTCTTCCTACAATCTCGGCCTTCGACAAAACCAAACAAGCCCAGCACATCCGGCCCAACCCAAAAAGGCGGGGCCGCGATTCCCCCACGGCATCCCGGCGACAACGTACGGATCGGCGTCGGGGGTCGGGGGTTCAAACCAGCAAAGAAGCACAGCCCACCTACCGGCTCTTTGTCGCGCACATCACAAGCCTCGGGTCTGGATCTCGTTATCGTAGAGCAGACTCATTAAAGGCAAAGAAAGAGGAGAGAGACATTCTGAAGGGAACCACCGCCGCACGGCCGTTTGGCGCCGCGGGATTGCCCAACGCTACACCACGGCGGCGGGGTTTTAGGGAAACAGGAACGCCGCCTCCACCAAGGCGCCTTCTCGGTCATGAGTTTCCGCATTCGGTAGGCTGATCGCGGCGCCCTTGGACCGTTCCGGACTTGGTTCGTTGGACGAGGCTTCGGGACTTTCCATCGCTGCTGGTGTCTCGACTAGAGCCTCGAAGACCCCAAGCCGACATTTGAGGGCTTGAGGGGCTTGCCTAGACAGTGGGGGTTAGTATCTGAGATCTTCCGCGGTGGCACTCTGGCCGTTCAATAGGTCTCTGAGAAGAAGCCGGGACTTCCCCAAAGGACTGGGCCTTTCATGATCGTGAGCACTCGCACCCGCAGAGGATTTCCCCTGTAAGATGGGTGAATGATCTGTCGTGATCGGGTTACAGCTGCCAACCTAAATCCCGACAAAGTTTCGCAGCGCGGCAGAGTTGCCAACGCAGCGGGTTCTGGTGTGTGCGTGTTGACTACAACAGACTAAGGTTCGAGGTCTTCGGGCTTGCGGGACGTGTCGCGTCTCATCCACGCGAGGGAGGGCCGTCCTGAGGTCAGTGGAGATCTCAATTGGGACGAAAAAGCAGCCCGGCCCTGCGTGCTCGTCTGTCCGTCTGCTCTTTCGGTATCGTAATTCGTCACGAGATGCTTCCTTCTCGGCACAACTTGCAAATTCCAAGTGTGAATGTTGTTGTTGGTGAACTTGGCGCCCGTCCGGGGGTTTCTCATGTGTGAGTTAATCACCAGGGCGACGCCGTCGCGGAGCAGGTGGGCGAGCAGAATGCTGAAACGACATGTCGCCGGTTTCGTGTCCGTGCCTGGGCCCCAGGAAACCACCCAACCACCGCCAGGGGTTTTTCGCGGGACCCTGGGCTAGCTGGTTGGTGCTGGGGCTGTTGCGACTGTGCAAGGCGACCAGAGGTGCAGACGGGGTGGAAAAGTCGTGCCAGCATCGCCCGTTTGATCCGCAACTCTCAAGTTTGGCGAGAAGAGGCGAGTGAAGGGCTGTCGACGATGGGATGGCAGAACGGGCCACTAGTGTAAGCTGAGACGAGGGGAGGAGGGGGTCCGCCGAGGATCAGAAAAGATCGATATGTTTTCCCCGCCGCCGCATGTTGAATGAAGCTTGTGTGAAGGATAGCTGCATTGTTGGAGGCATCTTTCTTTCGAGATCGTTTGATGATCTGGTGCCGCGGAGGTAAAATCATTGCCTGTGCAGTTAACCTCCGACGCGGGACTGCGTTCGAAACTCGCGACCCCGGATTTCCCATTTCTCCCGTCAATTCCTAACGGCCGCTGCGGCGGGCGGCGGCAGAGGCACGGCAAGAGAGTTTTCTCGCTCTCATGGATCGACTCCGAGAGGGAAGTCGGGAGAGAGTGGGTTTCGCATCGAGCCGCAGACAGAGAGCAGACAAGCCGGGGTTGCCCAACCAGGGCTGGACTCTGGACCGGCCGCTTGTTACGTCCCCTACCGAATCCGGGTACTGGACCGTGTTGAGGCGCATGAAGCAATAGTGTGGCCTCTCAGGGCTGAGAAGACGCGTTGCTCGTGGTTGCGTGTACACGTTCTGCGTGGGTTTCGATGAGACGAGAC